GTTCGGAGTCTTTGGCTTCGGTTTGGGTTTTGGTTTTGGCTTTGGCTTCAGCTGCGGCTTTACAGTTCATGCGCCTCATGATAGTATAAGATTTCATTTCATTAAAGTGCATCACGACGGACAACGGCCGATGGACGGCAGGCGGAATCAATGAGCGGCGGCTACATAGTTTCCCCCGGAGTCCCCGCGGTCTGCCGACCCAATCCCATTCCCTGCTAGGCAGCTACCAGCAAAGAACACTGGGAGAAAATGTTGTCTTTGTTTTGGATACCCGCGAAAGACTACTTTATTCTAATATTCAAAATGTAAAACTTGACCATGTATTAATTCTTATATTTAGAATCAATAAATGTTTAAAATTGGTAAACAATTTACATATTGAGAATGGTGATTTTTTTTTAAATATTTATCTATCTCTAAAAAAAGGGTCATAATTCTGTCTATAAAAGTTATTTAACTTCGTAAACGTTTACTTAAATTTATTATATAAATATTTTAACTTAAAAATTTTTACTTTAATTTATAATATAAATATTAGTTAAATTAAATGTTTTGTTATCAATGATAAGTCTTATCATGAATACGTACAGAGCCTTAAGTATTTATATGAAAAATCCATTTTAATGGATAACAATTATTTTAAAATACAATTTAGAGTCTAAAGCTTAGACAGTCGCCAAAATAAAAACTACAACATTAAATTATGAAATACAATTTTAATATTTTTTCCCAGTGCACCTACCTTGCTTACTTTTCTTCTTATTGGCAGATTACGACGGGTTGGCGGGGTGGCCGGGATGTAGCTGGGCAACTTATAATCAAATCCGATAAAAAATTTCATTATTGCTCCACAGCAGCAGCAGCAACAACAAAAACCATAACTGTTTTACAGGTAATTTTGCTGTTGTTGTTATGATTGTTGCTGGCTGCACTTAATTTTCGCATGCGCACTGGAAACCGAGCCGCGCAGCAGCTCATGATCGCGATTTCTTGATCTTCCGTCTTCCCATCCCAGAATTGAAGCCTCCCCGTCCGCAGATCCATCCTCCCCCCTGATCTTTGCCTGGAACTTTTCGCTCCCGTTCGTGTGCGGACGCCATTTTGCGATTGGGATTGGGTTCTCAGAGGCATGGGCTCCATGGTATAGCCATAGCTATAGCCACTGGAGGTCAGTTGGGTCCGCAGGAATAGAAAGAAGCTTTGATTCGAAATGGCAATCTCTGGCCTATCGCCGCCGCTGCTCCGGCAGCACATAAATTGGGACGTGATTATGAAATAATTGCAATTCTGTACTTTGGACTTGCGCAACTAAGCAAAGCAAAGCCAAAAGGTAAAGCCACAGAGAAAAGAAACTATGATGAATTTGAACCTCAGAGAGATATAATTTATTTCAGAAAATAATCACTGAAGTAAATACAAAGGTAAATATTTTTTCTGTATCACTGTTCTATTAATAACATATTTTTCTGTGTTTTTTATGCACTATAACAAATACCGATATCGCAGAGGCAATCGCTGATCTTATTTTTCTGCGTGGAAAAGCAATCAGTTGGCTCCGCTGGCTGCGATTTGCACCTTGGGGAGCAACAGCGACCACTTCAAACGGGAGCAGGTGACAGGCGACAGATGGGTTTCAGTGTGATGAGGAAGCAACTGCAATTGCAACTGCAACAGCGATAAGTTGCTGCTGCTGTGAAACTGTCGCCAGACAAATCAAAAGAAATCGCTCTGGAATACGCAACGGCCATTAAATTAACGCAAAAGAAAACCGCTTTCATTCATTAGAGGTTCCAAGGGAACTGTAACCGCAACCGATTCATGTTTTTTTCACAGACTCCACAATCAATTTAAAGCAATCGATGATTTTACAATACCAGGGGCAAGGATAAAAAATCTATAAAATTAATTAGTAAATCTGGTTAAATAAAAAACATAAGCCATCAAAATTTACATTTTTTATGCCTAAATTTTAATATTTATAGAAGAAATTTAGTTAATACATTTTGACTACTCAACAACCTGAATCATTCATAAATACTACACTATGGACTGCAGTTTGAGGGCCACTGGCGACGTGACAAATCCCTCTGGTCAACATTACACCTGATCCACGTGGAACTCCCCCAACTCATTTGCATCCACAAGTCCCCGAGGGGCCTCGGCCTCCTGGACGGCCTGGTCGTCCGCCAACATATGCAAATTAAATATAATTTCAACACTCGCATTTTTGTTGACTCTGCTGCCGACGGCTCCTCCGCCTCGGGTCCATAATTTACATGAGGTTAACACGCAAGCGAACAGCAGACAACAACAAAGAACCGGCCTTGATTATCAGCGGCAAATCGAATGCACGCACATGCGAAGGATGCAGGAGGGGATTTTGGATTTGGGATTTGGAAGGAGGGGATCTGGGGCAGGAGCAGGAGCAGGGGGCAGGGGCATCCGCCGAAAAGGAAGTCAACTTTGAAAAGGCTGAAAGAAATTCTATTACAATGGTGAAATATTGCCAAATCATGGCTTTGGGGTAAATAAATTTCCACGGCACCACTCGCCATGACCGCTGAACCGGGATGGATGGAAATGGAGGATGGATAGATGCTGGTACACGGAAAATAATTTGATGATTAATAATGCATTCGTTATATTTTTGTTAATCATAATAAAGTATTGTTTAAAAAAGATATGATAACTATATAAAATGTAAGAAAAGAGTAAATTAATTTAAATACATATCTTTATGTGTATACTATATCAAGCTAATGGGTAATAAGTTTCGTTCATAAACTCAAAGCTTGCTTCAAAATTCCTAGAAAATATAATTGAATATTGGGTATAGATAAAATATAAAAATATATGGAAAAACAATCGGAAAGTATCATATCATATTAAACTAGTTTAAATTCAAGTAAAGAAATATGGAATGTCGGAATATAAAATGACACTTCAATTTAAAAGTATTAATATGTATTGAAATAATCACTTCATATTTTTCTAGTAATAAGAAATAAAATACATGTGTGAATATGAAATGACCCCTAGCAAAATGATATTTCTTTCTCTGTGATCAGGAGTACCAGGAGCGGCCATGGAAGCTAAAGTCCCTGGCCGTGTATAAATAAGTAACCTGATCCCAGCAACACGCTGCCTGACAGGGTCCCAAAAACGGCACACAGCTTCGGCTCGGTTCGGATGGGTCGGGATTGGGATGAGGTTCCCGGTCCCAGGTCTCCCATCGCATCGGATCGGATGGGATCGGTGAAAAGCGGAACCCGTTTGGAGCTTCTGCAGCAGCAGCGTCTTGCGGCATTTTGATTTATAGGCGATTTATGCACTTGGCTGCTGCGGTGGGAGTGGAAGCAGAAGTGGATGTGAGTGTGGATATGGAAGTGGGAGACGTCTTGACCGAATTCATGAGCGGACAGCTGGCCTGGGTTTATTACATATTACACAGTACATATCATAAGGTTAGCCTCGACAGGCAGGGGAATTTCAATATTCGTATGCGCTAGGCGCACTCACAATGTTCTCGTTTTGGAAAGCATTTGAATTCGTGTTGGCTAATAAGAGTTTACTAAGGCAACGCTGCGGATGCGGACGCATCTTATCATCTTATCACGGCCGCCGCTTATCTGGGTGAATCAACAACAGCAACGTTCGCCTTTTAGGCCTTCGCACAGGGTGACCTGTTGGCGAAGAACCACATCAGGCCCATGAGGCAGCTGGGCGGGCTGTTGTTCACGGCGCCCTGCTGGATCATCCGCTTGGCCTCCTCCAGGGACAGCTCCACCACCTCGATGATCTCGTCCTCGACGCCGCCGCCACTGGTGGCCTTGTCCGCATCGGTCACCTCGCAGTAATACATTATTTGCTTCGCACCCGATGAGCCGACGCCAGATCTAAAATTAGTTCAAGGAATTAGTAACAAATTAAAGGGTTTTTTAAAATATTTCTATATGTTACAAAAAAATGGTTAAAGTTTATAAAAATTTTAATTAAAAATAGACATTTAAAGTAAATCCCATTTTACTTTAGTTATAATAAACTTGTTATAGTCCGTTGTTAGGGAAGTTATTGAAAAATCAATTAAGTAGTTGGAAAATATTTTTTATTATAATTATAATTATAATTATAAGTATTATACAAATTATCGGCAATACGTTGTTCAGTTTTACCTGAAGCTGTCATAATTTTTATAAATATAGATAAGTAAATATGGATACAAAATTGAAATGGTATTTTTAACACCTTTTTGAAGCTCAAAACTACCCCTGAACATATTATAAAACATGCCCCCACTCACCTGTAGACCATGACCTCCTCGATCCGCTCCACGGGCACATCGTAGCCACACTCCTCCACCACCTCCTCCCGGGCGATCTCCACCCAGCTCTTGGACTTGTCCACGATCCCGGCGCACAGCTCCAAGGTGACCCCGATGGCGGGCGGGAACTCCTTGAGGTCCACAGTGTCGAAGTTGCCCTTGGCGCTGGACAAGATGCCGTGGTAGACAGCGGGTCGGAACTGTTTGACCAGGACCAGTTTCTGGCGCGACGTGTTGTACAGAATGATGGCCACGCTGTCGTGGACCTTCAGCAGATCCCAGTTCTTCTCCACGCCATTCTGGACGTAGTACAGCCGGAAGGGTTTCACGTAGGGCGAGTCCTCGGGCAGGGGTCCCAGCCAGATCTTGGAGACGTTTTCCATGCTGAATTACTCGGAATATTGAGAAACAACGGCAGTGGCACTGACAACAGCTGACTGGGAAAGCTCCAGCCGGCGATGTGGAGACCCAGTCATATGGCAGCTTTTGTTTCGGGGGAGCTTTTCTGACATTTACGGCCAGGCAGCAGATGGTAATACTATGTGAATTTGAAAAGGTCGTTATAAGTGGGAAAAATAAGAACTATGTATAATGTTAAAAAAATGAATTATTATAGGTACTAATTTAATTTACAAATTTTATAAACTTTATTAACAAGTTTTAAGTTTTATCAGAATCTCTAAGTGGAAAGATTGGGTGCCTTATTGAGAAAGAACCAGAGTAAACCCATTAAACATGAGGGTCCTCCATTGGTAATAGCTCCTGTTTGAACTAGTTTCCTTGACTCCTCCACAGACATCTCCAACACCTGGATCTTTTCGGTATCAACGCCACCGCCTTCCGATACTTTCTGATCATCGCACACCTCGCAGTAATATAAAGTCATGGCACTGCTAGAGGTTCCAATACCGGATCTATAATCATATACATGCTTCAAGGATTCCGTGGTCACCTCGTATCCGCACTCTTCCAACACTTCCTCCTTCGCAATTTCCGCAAGGCTTTTATCCTTATCAACGGCGCCTCCGCAAAGTTCCAAAGTGACTCCTATTTCCGGTGGAAACTTCTCCAGATTAGCCTCTCCTTTGGACATCTCAGAACTTCCTGCTGAATAAATTCCCTGATAAACGGCTCCCCTCAATTGTCGTACGAAGATCAGTTTCTCTCGGGATTTATTGTACAACAGCACCACCACACCATTCATCGTTTTTATAATGTCCACCTGCTTCTCCACATCATTTTCAAGATAGTGCAGACGACCTGGTTTAATCCATTGGGAATCCTTGGGAAGAGGACCGAACCAAATCCGCGAAATGCAGTTAGCTCGGTTCTCAATCCTCGATTTCACAGAAGAACAACAGGAGCGACGCAAGCCGACAAGTATTTTGAACATATTTTCGATTTTTAAAAAACCTTTAGATATCTTTGAATGATTTCTCAACGACAGAGGTACATTAATACATTACTCAATGATTTAATAAGGCATAATTTTAATAGATACATTTCGTTAACACAAGGTTTATTATAATTTGATTACAAAACACAATCAATGTACTATATATCGTCAAATTAATGACTGGGAATTTATCGCAAGGTCAATGGTGAACTACATGTCAATAATTGTCACACAATTATGGATGCGAGTGTTTAAATAGGCAGGTAATATTGAACAGTTCCAAGAAAATTAGGAATAATTAAATTTTTATCTAGTTTATCTTACTTTTTTAGGTAAGATAGGAGAACAATTATCACCATTTAATAAAACTTTTCAACACAAAGGTAGTAACAAATTTCAAGAACTGTCCAAAGTTCATACTCCGCCCCTAAAGATTCCTAGTCAAACATACAGGCATGTCTAGCACACACAATTCCTTATCATTTATCATTTAGCTGCGTAGCAGTTGTCGCACACGCGAACTGGTTTCCCCGGCTGACCCTGGGCATTGAGGAGGGGCAGCGTGTGCTCCGAGCAGGCCTTGCAGAAGATCTCACCGCAGCTGCGGCAGTGGTGTTTCCGCCGGGTAATATTGAACTCCCGCTCGCAGGCGGTGCAGTGGGTGGCAATGGAATCGGGTGCCCAGATCCCGGGACTCCCAAGAGCCTCCGGCATGGCCTGTAGAGACTGGGCTGAGCCGGAGAGCAGCTGCCGCTGACGACGCTCCTGATCCTGCATCTCCGACACCTTCAGCTTACTCACGCTCAGCTGGATGCCGAGCTCCTCCAGCGTGGTTTGTGCCTCTGACCATTGCGTTCGCACCTTGTCCAGATCCGCCTTGAGCCTGCCGTTCCTCTCCTTCTCCTCGGCCAGCTCCTTGAGGCAGTCCTGCAGGTTGGATATTTTCTCCTTCAGCTTTAGCTCCTTCTCCTGCAAGGAGATTCGCCACTCGCGTTCGATCCTTGACTCCGCCTCCGCTCGGGCAGCCCGCTCTTCGCTGGCAGTGACCTGCGTGGTCAGCGTTTGTGACGTGGTCTTCAGAATCTCACCCAGATTGCTCTTGTCATGGGTCCATCTGGGTAAAAAAAACAGGGTTTATTAGGATTAATTATGGGATTTTTAACCTTAAATTATTACAACGGATTTATAGAGAATTAACCCACAATTTTTGAGGAACTTTCAACAAGAAAGTTTAAGTTTTTTGAGTAAACCCAGATATTTTTGATATTTGATCACAGATAAATCAGAATTCGAATTTTTTTGGATTGTTAGAGTAATAATCCATAATTTTTAAGGAATATGCTACTAGAAAGTTGAAATTTTTTGAGTAAACCCATATATTGTTGATAATTGATCACATCTAAATAAAAAATTCGAATTTTTTTGGAGTGTTAGAGTAATAATCTAAAATTTTTGAGGAATATGCCACTAGAAAGTTGACTTTTTTTTTTAGTGAACCCAAAGTTTTAGGTATTTTTAATAATTGATCACAGGTAAATCAGAATAAGAATTTTTGTGGATAATAATAGATCAAACATTTTCAAAAAAACTTGTAAGGGTATTTTATACTACTAATATTAGTTGTTTCTCAATCAAAATTTTAAGAAATTTTGAAATAAATGTATTTCGACAAGAGTGGTATAGATCGTTAGAAACTAAGTCAAAGATCTTTTAAAACCATGCCTCATTATTATTTATAAACTGAAACTCATAGGCTGAATTCCATTTCCAAAATATATTGTGGCTTAAAATTCCAAACTGGCTTCTTTTCCCCCATATGCAATCCTCATCAACCCCTCAGCGATCTTACTTCTTCTCCAGCTGATCGATGGTACTGGCCATGTCCTCCTTCTGGACCTCCAACTTGGTCATCAACTCGGTTTTGTGCGTTAAAGAGGCCTTGCAGTCCTGCCAACGAAGAAAATAAGCGGATGTACCAACGTCGTAGGGTTCCAACATTAATTTTTATATCGATGTTAGTAGTGTGGAAAATGAAAGACTTGGGGTTCGGATAAGTTTTATTTCTCTGGGATCGATTGTGAAGAGAGTACGAGTATTAGAATATAGGCTGTAGCTCCAACGCGTATAATACATTGCATGGACTTGTAGATTCATATAGTCTCAATATTTATTTGTAGTTTATAGTATATAATTACAATATTTGTTGTATTTGACTAGGCTGAGTGTATAGTTACAATATAAGCGATTGCGTGGGGATCCATACGTACATACATATGTATAATAAAACATCTGAAGCCTCTCTTAATCACACTATACATATATACATACATACGTCGCTATAGTATAATCGTATATAATCATTGTTTACGGGGTCTCTGGGAAGATAATTTAGCTAACAGGTTGCAAACTGTAGTAATTCAAAACCTTTAACAATTCATATACTGGTATTCTATCCATTTAAGGGATCTGGTCTAGGGAGTAAAGGCATCCTATATGGTACACACACGCTATAGAGCTATAGGGTTGTTCTAGTTGCTTTAAGTAGTTGCACTTTGAGTTCCGTTCGGGACCTGGACACGGACTTTGAGTGGTTGTCCAGGCCCCAAGGATGTTGGGAGCAATACGGGCCTGTTTCGATTTTCAAATGGTGGAATAATTAAATGAGATCTTTAGATCTTACATTAACCGAGATCTTGAATAATAATATTAAATAATATTCATAATATTAAGTTCTTTTTAGGTTGTAAATGCAGTCAGGCACTAAATACATTCAGTAATGATATAAACCTAATTTTAGCCATCAAGAAAAGGATTTTCATTTAAACAAAAAATACAATTCAAATCTAGTTATTGTATAGATTTGTGAAAACCGGAAATAAATTCTGTGAAAACCGATACTGGCCCTACAAACAAGGAGTCTTATTCTAAATATAGCTGTTGCTTAAGCATCTCCCTCGGCTGTCTGCTCCCGGCAAAGCACATAATCGCTTTGGGAGGCATCCACTCCAAAGTGCTGCACCACCACAGCCGCCGCTTCGGCCAGCTCATCGTTCAGGGACTTGGCGGAGGTGGGCGTCTTGGCATCCTTGGTCTCCGCTAGATCCTCCGGATTGGGTGCATCCGGCTGACGCGGTGACTTCCGATACTTGCTGGGATCGAAGGGCGGAAAGGCGGCGTCCATCTTGAGATGCATCCGCTTCATGGGCGGTCCAGCGTCCTGTTTGTGCTTCTTGGTGAGCGCCTCGAACTTCTCCAGATTCTGCTGGCGTCGCGTGTTGGGCGAGCGATCTCCGCCAATGGATCCGCCCCCAGCTCCAGCTCCTGATCCCGATCCTGATCCTGATCCTGGTCCGTAGTGATGGTGCTGGTCGACGAGCTTCGATTCGTATTTCTTTTCTAGCGATTGTAAAATGTTACCAATTTGTGAGGCTTTCGTTTGCAGGCGCGAGACCATCTCGCCCTTTTGTGTGAGTTCATCTTCACATTCCTGGTTGAATTTTAGACGGGATTACTTTTTGACTTTAAGGCTTAGACCGATTAATTGGATTTATTGGAGCTAATGATTAAATTATAAAATAAAGACTTGAAAAAAAGGGGACCAGATGAGAGCGAATGAATGTGGGCAGATGAGTTGTGAGTGAGTGTGAGTGATTTTTGAATGGGTTAATTGATTTCACAGGGAATCTTTTTAGGCAGAAACCTTAAGAGATGGCCTGGAAACCCATCCTGCGTGACCTACTCACCTGCAGCTTGCGATACATCTCCAGGTTGATCTGCTTGATGTCGTCCAGTTGGCGACGCAGCGAGATTATCGTGTCCTGCTTCTCGTGAATGTCCTTCTCCAGCAGCTTCATGGCCATGTCGGACTCCGCCTTGAGGGACACCTGTAGTTTTAGCTCCTTTTCCAGTTCGCTGGTCTTGCGACGCTCTTCAATTAGTTCTTCCGAGGCTTTTTCCTTATCCTTTTCGGAGGAGGAACCTCCAGAACCAGTAGAACTATTATCCGCCGCTGGAGTGGACTGCCTCATGGCTTGGTTTTCGGCTTGTAGGGCCAACAAACTATTCCGTGCAATGGCCAAGTCCTCCTTCATCAAGGCATTCGTGGTCGTAAGTGACTCTACTTTGGCCTGAAGATTGCCCACAGTGGCGCTAAAAATATTCATGGAATAACTAAGCTTAGAGGCTCGATCACAGAATAGCCATAACCCACTTTAGGTGCCTGTTGAGCTCCTCAATGTAGTTCTTCTGGTCCAGCACCGCAATCATGTTGCCCTGCCCAGTGGCATCCAGCAGGGCAGGTGGAGCCGTGTCCTCGGGAGCGGCATCGGCATTCCGCGAACTAGAACGCAGGTACAACGAAAAGTCAATGACGCCCTGCTGCGAATCCAGATCCTCCTCCTTGACGCACAGGTTGCAATCGATTACGTTTAAGCCCACCAGAATGCCCATTATCACAACGATCTGCAGAGAATTCAAGTTAAAGAGGATTTTCTTCAGAGAGATTTAGGGATTTCAGACCTCATCGCTCATCATCAGGGCATGTGGCTCGTAGTAGTCGTACAGTGAATCATCCCGGTGCTCAATGAGCGCCTGCAGGTAGTCCGATAGCTTCTTCTGCATCAGGGCAATCCTCAGCCAGGCTCGAGCCCGTCCAATATGAGTGCGTACGGTGGGCAGATCCCTGACACTCGCCGTAATGTCCTGCGCCTCCGGGCAATAATGCTCGACGCTCTGCAGCAGATCCCACAGCTCCTTGCGAGGCCCCAGAAGACCCTTCTTGGGTCTTAACCCATGGCCCAAAACGTGCTCGATGACGATGAAGAAGTGCTGCAGCGGCAGATGATCTGAGTCCAGCATGCGACCATAACGCAGCGATTGCTCCAGGAGTTCCTTCACCACCAACTTGCAAATATTCACCAGATTGCTGCGCTCTATTTCCGCCGTATCCCGGGCTGCAAAAAGGATCCCAGGATTAAATCAAGACTGCATGGCACTGAGATTTGCTTCAAAACCGAACAAAACAACTGACAACTTTGAGGTTTGAACTGAGTAATGAACTTTTATGTGCTCTCCTGGCTGCTGTTCTTTTTCCTGGCTCCCGGGGGTTGTCCCATATACAGCATCGACCTGGCCACTTTGGAGGTGCCCACCAACGATTTCCAGAACGAACTGACCCTGCAATCGATGCTCAGCTCGGAGCTAAGGGCCTACCGCAATGGCCTCAACGGGAGGATCGATGGGGAGGAGAAGCACAAGGCAGAAGATCCTCCCAGGAGTTACCAACAACTCAAGGATCTTTTGCCCAAGGAGCTGCAAAAGGCAACGCGGAGTGCCGTTGAAACAGAGGCTTTTCTGGGCACAAATCTCTTTGGCAACTACCGCAAGAATTGCTTTTCTACAGAAGACATTGCCCTGATTTCCGCCCGCAAGGACTTTGAGTTGCTGGTGCCCAAATCCTTTCCCCAGTGCCTGCTCACCGACAGCGTGGTGCACATGCTCATCCGGTACTTCAATACTGTCAATCAGATTGTCAAGAAAATGTCGGACGAGGATACGCGAATGATCCTTCAGCGGGCTTTCTACGATGCCCTGGGTGGCTACCTTCGGTATTATCTAGTGCCCATGGCCCAGGTTTCCTACTACGCCGGACGCATTAAACTGAGCACCGTGGAGCGCCTGGTGACCATCTATCGGCAGTGCCGAACTACCCTGAATACCAATGGAAATGGCTGGCGAACGCCGAACAAGGATATAATGTCTCAGTTTAAGGGGACGAAGATTGAACCTGTTTATCTGCCCAAGAGCTGTCAGTCGCAGGAGGATGCCTCCAGTTGTGCCCAGTTGGATCAAAGCTGCATCTCCCAGGAACCGGATCAGGGAACGATGATTGTGCCAATGCCACGTTTGGAGACCCCTGATGAGCATGGCATGCTGACCAATATCTACCTGGCCTTTCGAAAGCGACGCATCTACAATCTTCGCTCTCCCCGATCCGCCAATGTCCTGGTGAGATTCTTTCAAACCCTCACCAGCTGCTATCGATTTCAGGGTGTCAGTCAGGTGAACTATAATCGCCAGTTGCTCGCCTGGATAAGGGAGAATCTGCAGATGCACTATGCTGATGAGGTTTTCTACCCGGGACTGGGGGGGATTCTGCAGGTTCAAGAGAGGATTGTGATGCAGGAAAAGAATCCGGAGGAGGAAGCCCGGGAATCCCGTTCATCTTTTGAAAAGATTGAACAAACGGGAGGTTCTCCCCCTTCAAAAGAAGACTCTCGGAAGCTGAGTCGCTCGGCCATCCACTGGCAGGAGGCTCCCGATCAACAGCAGGATCCAGATGAGCAGGACGATCACCACGACGAGTGGCTCACTGGACTGGAGAAGGTTCACACTCGTCAGGATGAACTGGAGGAGTGCCGGGAGTGCGACAACGATGACACCTTGATCTGGTGCATTGCCGCCTTTCTGGCTCTGCTCCTGCTCCTCATCCTCCTCATCATTTGCTGTTGCATGCGAAGGGGCAAGAAGAAAAAGAGGGTAGTTCCTGCTCCTGATGCAGAGGCTCCTCCGCCCGTAGAAAAAAAGAAAAAACTCAGGGAGCCTTTGGTAGTAACTGAGCCAGTAAAAGAAGCCAAGAAAGACGAAAAGGGGGAACCCGAAGACGATCACCGATATTATTACTCTGGATCTGGTCGCTCAACCTCTCAAAGATCGGTTCAAAATGATCGTAAGTCGAAATGATTAATGGTTAATAAATACTGATAATTTCCACCTTCATTACAGGTTATCCGGAGAATCCTGAGCTGGATTCCTACACCTCCACCTCCTCGCTTGGCTGCCAGTTCAAAAGAAAGTGCGTGCCCCTCAAGTTTAGTCGGACCAAAGGAGCGGACTACTACCAACCAGACAAAAGTAGGGATGCGGTGGCTAAGCCGGATTCCGCCTTCAAGCTTTTCTCCGAGGATTCCTCCGCGCACAGAGCTTCTAGGGTTCCGGGTAAACCCACCTTGAAGACTACTCCATCTGCCATTCCCTCCTCCGAAAGCGATCTGGTCGCCATGGACAAGGATAGAAGGAGACAGAAGCCTTCCAGGCAAGAGGAAAAGCGAAAGAGGCACAAGGAGACCGAGACCAGCCGGAAAAAAGAGGTAAGTTATCAGAAAATAGCCAGCTTTCGAGATCCTGAACCCAGAATCACCAGCAGAACAAATCCTCAGAAGAAAGCAGAAAGCCGTCATCATCGGAAAAACGAAGGACCAAACAAGTGAGGATTGGTAAGTTTCTTAAAAAATATTTCTTTAAAAAATACCTAGTTAACCAAAAAAAATGCAATTCAGTATCGGACAACGAATCTTCGGATGATCCTCTCCTGCACAGGAAAAAGTCTACAGAGAAGGCGGTACCCACGACGGGTCGACTAAGAGGCGGCACTGAGGTGCGTTTAATCTAATTAATTGACTTGTTTAGTAATTAACTAATTTCTCTATTCCCTAATCAGTCGATAAGGGATTCCCCGAGCTGGGAAACGACCTTTGACGATATCTAATTGGCATCATTTTCATCTGTTTTGTTGTTTGCGTCTCCATTTTCTTAAGTGTATATTTCTTGATAAACCAATAAAACCTTTCGATTTAAACTTTTACCACACTGAGGTGTATTAATTAAAATTATCTGGCTAATTAAAAATTTTCCTCAACTAAATTCTTGTAAGATTAAAACCCTTTGTATCAAAAGAGCAAGCAACTAAATGTGCAACAATGCAAAGAGGCATGCAATTTGATCAGAGATTACAAGGGCCAACAAAATCTAAAACTTAGATCTAACTATCCATACTTTTCTAAAGGTTTTTGATACGAATCTTCAGTGGTTATTTTACCACCCAATGGGATGTTATAAAATGATAATGCTGGTAATTAATTAGGCTATACATACAAATAAACAAAAGACAATGCTTTAAAAAGAAATAGATACTTTGGTCTTTAAGGAAAATAAAGTGTAATGTAAAGTGAACACTAGAAATGAAATAAAAACCTACAAACATCCCAATTTAATTATCAAATAAAACCTTTAAAAATCTATGGCTTAGACATCCTTATGACTTCGCTGACCCTTTGGAATCTTCAAAAGATAACGACAAATGAAGAGAGACACTACAAAGTAGGAGCGTGCTGAGCAACAGAGGCACCATAAGAAGCGACCTACAGAGATGCGACCACTCGGCGAAGAGGCCGACACTCTGGTGCTGCGACTGGGAGTGCGACTGGGACTGGCCGAGTGCCGAGGAGCCACTGTGGACCATGTCGCACAGCCGGCGGCCGATAAGGTTTTCAATTGCCATAATACCATTGTCCGTGATGTCCAGGGCGCCGTTTCCTCCACTTCCTCCTCCGCCGCCTCCTGATCCACTGCCGGTGGACAGTCCGGAGAAGCGCTTGCTGTTGCGCTTGCTTGAATTGGATCCTGAATTGTAAGTGGATCCAAAGCCAGCGGTCTGCGGATTGCCTCCTCCTGCCAGTTTATCACTGGTCTGCACGTTCTGGCTGCCTGTTCCGCCGGCAACATCAATGTCCTGCAGCTCCTTCAGGCACAGCCACTCGCCATCGACGGATACCCGAAAGTTGCACAGGTAAATGGTGTCCTGGACACCGCCAGCCAGCTCCTCACTGGTATTGGCATGCGATGCCTTTGGCAGGGCAATCGTGTTGCTGCTGTTGCTCGCCTGTTGTTGCTGCAACACTAAGGGTTGCTGCTGTGTCGGCTGTTGCTGCTGCTGCTGTTGCTGTTGCTGCTTGGGTTGCACTTGTTGTGGGGGTGGATTCTGACCCTTTTGGCTTTTGGCCGCCGCCGCTTGGGCCCTTGTTGTTGCTGCTCCACTTCCGATTCCAGTTGTTGTTGCTGCTGCTGCCGTCGATGACTTTGCAGACTTGCCAACCGTTTGAGGCGCCTTCTTGGCCGCCGCCGCTGTTGCAGCCAATGACGTCGTGCTGCTCATCGTTGGCGTTTTCACCGAACTTCTTAAAGGCTTCGAATTGCTGCCACTGGCACTCGATCCTGGTACAGTACTAACCGACTTTATGCGACTGCTGTTGCTGCTAGTGGTGCTGATGTTGTTGTTGTTCGTCGACGACAACTTGGACTTTTTCGTATCCTCGACAAGTCCACGCATTTTGCTGGTGCTTCAGAAACTGCAATGTGTGTGTACGTGGGCGTCCATAAAAATACAGATATATACAGATATATCGATATTAAGTGCTCAATAATTGCAGAGTTTCCTTTGCTGTGGTTTTTCCTTAACCGCTTGTTTTACCTTAAAATGTTTTTCCTTTCCGAAAACCTCTTGAAGAGGGTTTTTCTTTTGAAATTAACCAAATAACTGAAAATTATCGCCGCTTTGAGGTTGCTCCGTTATCCTGTTGTGTACGCGTTGAGTAAGACTGGGCATAAAGTTCTTTATCCTATTGATTTGTCAAGTGTGCGAAGCTCGCAAGCTTTTCGGGAGCTTTTGTTAAGGGTGTTCTTGTTGGAGTAGTATTTCCGGTGAAAGTTTACCACTGTAGGTTTATTTATTTAGGTTTACCAGTTTATTGTTATTTTTAATTTTTTTTTTAATTTTTTATAAAAATTCCGAGTATATTACAAATTGATTACACTGTGCAGCATTTTTAGTGCTTTTTAAATTTACCTCGATGGATGCTATATTTTTGGATTCGTTACGAATTCCCAAGTTAAACTGCGTTTTCCAAAAAGTTCCCCGACGCAAGGATTCTTAGCAAAAGGACCTCAAAGTTCGAAAAATGCTGAAATTGGCCAACTTTGCGGAGCTCTCAGAGGCAAATGGATGCATGGTTTGATTCGATGTTAAAGTTTTTTAAAAGATACACCCTTTATCTTTTAAACCCCATACTTCAAAAATTTGTAAGATTTTTTTTAAGGCAGAAACAAATTCTAGAAAACATAGTCAAAAAACATAAAAGTATACAGCTGCGGTCAAAATGGTAGTAGTGTTGCCGCCCTGTGTATTTAAAAGTTTGTTGTTGTAATTGATCTTTTCCTGGTAATATTGTATTGATTATAATTTTACTATTAGACTAATTGGATAAGAAAAAATTACAACATCAAACTTTTAAAAACACAAGGCGGCAACACTGCTACTATTTTGACCGCAGCTGTATGTTTTTCAGTTTTTTGACTATGTTTTTGGAATTTATTTCTGCCTTTAAAAAAAATCCTAAAATTATTTTATGTATGGGGTTTGAAAGATAAAGAGTGTATCTTTTAAAAAACTTTAACTTCGAACCAAGCCATGCATCCATTTGCCTCTGAGAGCTCCGCAAAGTTGGTCAATTTCAGCATTTTTCGAACTTTGAGGTCCTTTTGCTAAGAGTCCTTGCGTCGGGGAACTTTTAGGAAAACGCAGTTTAACTTGGGAATTCGTAACGAATCCAAAAATATAGCATTCATCGAGGTTCATTTTTGATGCTGCATAGTGTTATAAATTCTTAGGAAATCTGAAATGGCTTCTGACCCACGAAAATGTTGGTTTTTATATGATAAGATATATTATATGAATACCTACCATTGTAACACTTCTTATAATACGTTTTTATTATTTAATCATGTTTTATTGATCGCTGAATAAATATAAACCTATCGCTGGTTTCTTTCACATCATCTTAAAATCATTTTTATACCCTTTAAAACAATAATTATTAAAAAACACCTAAAAGGTAAATTATTTATGATATGTTTCTAGTCTATAAAACATTACCCGAAGGTTTTTTTAAAGCTATATGTAAAATATTGGCCATGTGAAAGAAATACTGCCCTAATTCAATAATATCTATACATTATACGTTTGTATAATATATCTAACATATTACTATAGATAATGCATAATGAAAAACAAAGCTGTCTTATCGTTCTATGAATAATGCTTGAAACTCACCGCGTTTCATCCGCTTCGCTTTGATTTTCGATGGCGAGGGTAATGGAGCTGCATCGGGAGTGGGTGGCACAACAGGTGGGCTGGGTTGCTCTGGATACGGGTAAGTGGTGGTCCCGTCAATTACCTCCGACGAGGCGGCTGCGGCGGCTGCATTCGAGAACTGCGTGGAGATGTGGCTGAAGATCTGCGAGGAAATGCTCTCCGTGCGCCTAAAGGTGTTGCGTAGGCGGTCCAGCGAGGATGTGGACGTGGAGGAGTTGCTCAGCGCAGGCGCGGCACCTCCACTGGGGGGCGGTTCCGAAACGGAGGCACTTGGCGAACGGGAAAGCGATTGGGAGTCGTCGCTCCTTTCGCGGCGCACCAGCAGATCGTCCGTGCTCATGGTGAATCACTCACTTCGGTACACTTTTCGGGACACTCCACGAGATCACATGAATTGAACCGACTCAATTATACGCGCTAATTTCGCTTAATTGCACTTGCACACGGCGTAAACAAAAAAGTTTGTCAATACAAGTCGAAACAGCTGTTGCTTTGCGATTGGGGAAGGGCGATAACTTTCACTAGTCCTGTCACGGGTCACGGTTATCGAAGAACTATTACTCAACGATGTTGTGAGTAGCTGCTATCGAAGTACAGTAAACACTTTTTTTACAAAACTGTCCCTTTCTGTAACATTCATTTAAGTAAATCCTTTGAAATTGGACCACAATAAAAATTGATTTTTTGTCGCCCAAGTCACTTCTAGAAGTGTCGCCAAAGTCACTTCCAGAAGTGTCGCCCAAGTCACTTCCAAAAGTGTCGCCCAAGTCACTTCCAAAAGTGTCGCCCAAGTCACTTCCAGAAGTGTCGCCCAAGTCACTTCCATTTGTTTTATTTAAGATATCAAAAAAACCTTTATTTCTTTATTATTTCTTATATAAGACTAAAATTAGAAAATAATTTAATAATTATTTAAACGTTTGACACGATAACGATAAGCCGATAGCTTTATCAAATATTATATCGAAGTACCGAAACACCTGATAAGTATTGATTGTGAAAACAAAAGGATTTGCAGTTGCAAATTCGAGCAGGATGGACATGATAAACAAGTTCTACTCATCTGCCGTGCAGACGGTGTCCACATTATCCGGCGTCTTGCCCGGGAACAATGTGACGCGGGAGTACGAGGTGCTGGACCAGGTGTGCACCGCCGGAGTGGGTGAGTCTTACCTGGGTTACCAACATATTGTGGCCGATATAATGTAATCCCAATCCCAACCAAACAGGCCTGATGTGGAAGGTGTACAATGGCCACAAGAAGAGCACCAAACAGGAGGTGTCCGTATTCGTCTTTGAGAAGAAGTCCCTGGAGCGCTGGTCGAAAGATGACAGGGAGACCATGCTGGAAACACTGCGTCGAGGGGTTCAGCAGCTGACCAAGATTCGTCATCCGCATGTGCTGACCGTACAGCATCCGCTGGAGGAGAGCCGGGACTCGCTGGCCTTTGCCACGGAGCCAGTCTTCGCCTCGCTGGCCAACGTTGTGGGCGACAATGTGCGCTCCGACAAGAAGCTGTACGATGTGGAGATCCGACACGGTCTGCTGCAGCTCTTCGACGGCCTGCAGTTCCTTCACCAGGACGCCAAGATTGTCCATCGCAACATCAGCGCCGAGACGATCGTCATCAACAAGAACCGCAGTTGGAAGCTCTTTGGCTTTGACTTTTGCATCGCCAACCAACCGGCCACCGATGGCACACCGCACTGGCCCTTCCGGGAGTACACCACTTCCCTGCACGTCCTGGCTCAGCCCAGTCTGGAGTATACGGCTCCCGAGTTGGCCCTGAACAGTGTCAACACCCCCGACAGTGATCTCTTTTCGTTGGGTAAGTAGTCTATGAAATACCCATTTGTTTGATATTTTTGTCTATGGCTAAATTATTCTTGTGAGTCATTAAAAGGCAAGGCTATGGTTTTTATAGATAATTTATACATCACAAAAATCTAGCATGCGATTATTAATAGTAGATAAGAAAATCGTATTAAATTAGATATCAATTAATTCCTCATACACGTATTTTTATAAAAAAAAAAATCTAATATAATTGTTTTTAAATCAAATTTAGGTGTCCTCGTCTTCACCATCTATGCCGGAAAGCCGCTGAAGATGTTTGGCAGCGATTACAGCAGCTTTCGACGCTATGCTAATGATCTGAACCAGCGGAAATATCCACCCATGAACGCAGTGCCCAGCGAGCTAACAGAGAGTCTCAAAGCTCTACTGCATCCCAGTGCTAGTTTGCGACCCAAGCTGCACGAACTAAAGCAGATCGCTTACTTTCAGGACGTTGGGGTCAAGACACTAAGCTATTTGGACTCTCTGTATCAGTGGGACAACCTGCAGAAGTCCAAGTTCTACAAGGGCCTGCCGCAAATCATTCCGACGCTTCCACATCGCGTCAATTTGCACTCGATCCTACCCTATCTGGTCAAGGAGTTTGTCAACTCGCCGATGATACCGTTTGTGCTACCGAATGTCCTGCTCATCGCGGAGATGAGCAGCCAGCGAGAGTACTGCGATCACATCCTTCCGCACCTGAAACCGATCTTCAAGCTAACGGATCCCATTCAAATTCTGCTGATCTTTATGCAAAAGATGGATCTGCTGCTGAAGCTCACGCCGGCGGAAGAGGTGAAGCAGAGTGTGCTGCCACTGTTGTATCGATCCCTGGAATGCGACATGCCCCAGATCCAAGATCTCTGCCTGGCTGTCCTGCCCACATTCTCCACTCTGATCGACTACAACGCAATGAAGAACTCGGTGCTGCCGCGCATCAAGAAATTGTGCCTGCAGAGCAGCAATGTGTCGGTGAAGGTTAACTGCTTGATTTCCATTGGCAAGCTCCTGGAAAATCTGGACAAGTGGCTGGTGCTGGATGAGATTCTACCCTTCTTGCAGCAGATTCAAAGCCGCGAGCCAGCTATTATAATGGGAATAATTGGTATGTTTTCAAATCAATAGGCGTTGTTTACGACAGATTAATTATTAATTTTCCTGACCCTTTTAGGCATCTATAAAATCGCAATGACCAACACCAAACTGGGTATAACAAAGGACGTGATGGCTCATAAATGCATTCCATACCTGGTACCCTTAAGTGTGGAGAACGGCCTAACCATAGCGCAATTTAATACGATTATAGCCCTGATCAAGGAGATGATGGCCCGTGTGGAGCAAGAGCAGCGGGAGAAACTGCAGCAACTGTCCACTATACAGAGAGACAACAAGTAATATAGTTATTTTTTAAAGGAATAATTCATAATTTAATAATTATCTTCCCAAACAGACCAAAAGATGCTTCCGAAATATTAGCCAATGAGCTGGATAGCTCTACCATCTCCGCCAATGGTGCCGGTAATGGTAACAAGATCAACGATGACATGTTCTCTGGGTTCTCTGTGGGCCAGCCAAATGCCTCCTCAGCCGCTCCACTGGCACCGGTCAAGGCCAGGGAACAACTCAAGTAGGAATCAATAAAGAAGGAACCAAAGAAAAGCAGCTGAAACTCAAGAAACCTCTTTTGTAATTCTAGAATATCGCACAATACAATAGCAGCGCCGCCGGGAGCCAGGCCAGATATTCTGTCTTCGATGATGCAGAGCAACCTCACTGGTCTGGGGACAACAGCAGTGACAGCAGCAGCACCTCCTGCACCAGCACCCATACAACAAATGCAGACCAATAATGGTTGGCACAGTGCGAATCCTTTGGTGATGAACCATCAACTGGCCTCGCCGCAAGCGAGCAACAACAATTCCTTCTCGCTGGACGACCTGGATCCCTTCGCTGGTGGAAGACCCTCAGTTGGAGCGCCTAAGCCCAACAACACGAACGGTGCCAATATGTATACGCTGCAGCAGCCCACAGTTAACTACATTTATCCAACCGGGTATAGTCTGAATAACATCCAGCAGCAGCAGCAGCAACAGCAGCTTCTGGCAAAGCCCAACCAAGCGCAAACGCTACAGCCGCAGACACAGCCGCTGCTGCCGACGGATAACCAGAACCTCAACGCACTTTCCCAGCAGGACATACTTAACTTCTTGAACTAGATACAGTCGTAGCCAATAACAATTGATAGAACTCCATATTCCATATATTTAATATACAAGGCAACTATAGTTACCAGGTAGCATCGATTTGTGCAACCTAATATTCACTTATACAACTATTTATACATATAAATTTATCTGTGCAGTGTGTGAATGTCCCGTCTAAATGTGTGCGTGTTTGTTAGTAATGTTTTAAATTATATTATGTAGATTTTAACACAAGTCTTTTGGACTCTTGCTCGTTGCCACATTCCGCAATCGATATATCAAATGTGAAACGAAACGAATGCATATAGTTAAATAGAATATGTATTATTATATTAGCTAGACAAAAAGCCAACCAACTATGTTCTGTGCAATTGCTCCTTATCTATATTTTACAAAATATATCAAATTAATGAAGCGGTTTTCGGTGTGATTAAATACTATATTTATTTTAACAATAGCCATGATTATGGAACAAAAAAGTACAACGATCATATTAAAATTCGATTGTTGCGATAAATTAATGCAAAACTATACTGTTAAACTACAATTTATTTCAAACGGGTTTTTAAATTACACATTCCTTTAAAAACATTTAATATTTCATTCCATAAGATCTGCAATTATATTGTCTCCTAACAATGTACACTAATGCCAACTATATAAGTTGATCCTCATTAGTTTTAGTTTCTTTTACAGACTTCGCCACGTAGTCGGGTAATTTGACTTTAGCTATATACTGATTAAATGGTGATCCCAAGTATAGGTCTCCTTTAATTTCCAAAACATGAGATATGCCCGAGGCTGATCTATCAAAACCATGCAGGGATCTCACAATATTTCCCTTCCAATCCACACGAACCACAGTGCTTCGATTGGGCGCTGCATTGGTGGCCATCTCATTGAAGGAGTGGAAAAGTCGAGCAGCAATATCGTTCGGATATATATAGTTCGAAATTCTGAAGGGAAGCTGCATTAGACCCACCAGACGGGCAAGGATAGACCGTAATCTCGGATAGGGAGCCAAAGAGGCAAATAAATTGGGATTCTCACTATCCGAAGCAACGGATAAAGGCACCCAAATTCCCTCACTATCAGAAGTTAGATTATCCGGCCATCCAGGCAAACCATCCACAAAGACTTCACTCTGACCCGCCCGAGATCCTTTGAGGTAGTACTTGGTCAGACGCATGGCCGTCGTCTCGGCTACGATTATGAAATCCTCTCCAGGACTTAAAGCCAATCCGTTGGCAAAGGCCAACTCATCTAGGAGTACCTCGTTTGTCTTCTTTTCGCGATTGTATCTGAAGAGTCTGAGGAGGGGAATCAAATATTTGTTCACTATGTAGGCTATCTATCTATTATATATTTAATTAAACTCACCGACCTGATGGGTTAGCAAACGGAGCCAAGACAAAGTCATCCGATAAGGAATCAGTCCAGTAGATTTCGCCCTGCCGGCTAACTGCTAGCGAATTGAAAAGCTTAGCCCTACGGTTTACTTTCTTGCCAGGCAGGATCTGCTCCTTGGACACCAACCTAGTCTTCGCCTTCGTAGCCAAGTTAACTTGCCAAACTCCATAATATGAATCTGCTACTATCAGATTCTTTCCTTGGGTGTCAAGGGCCAGGCCCACTGGATAGCCACACAGCTCATCGTCAAAAATATAATCTAGGGAGATTATTATCAGCTTTATAGATAAATCTTCCCATAGCTGCTTTACCACATGGTTGCCCTATCTTTGTGATAGGCTGAATAGTCTCTTCGTTGCTCAGGCCAATGACCTCTCCACTGTGAATACCCGTGTATATCTTCTCCTCGAAGACCAGAAGACACTCTGGTCCAAATATCCGATCCTTCCACAACTGTTTGGCTTTATCCAAATGAAAGTTTGTCTGCAGAACTCCATTTAGTTCCCTAGGTGGCTTTATGCTTTAAGAAATAAAAAGATCAAGTAACTATTCTTAGAACTTCAGAAATTAGTCAACTTACACATATTCTTTGAAGGGAAAAGTGGTGCTTGGAGGCAGTCCGGGAAGCAGGATTAATGCTCCCAAGAAAATGCACAAAATAATAATTGTTTTAAGTAATGCGCCTAGAAAACCCATGGCTAAATTGTACGGCAAATTGATATTAAATGAGGCTCAAATAAAAAACACCGACGACAAGGTTACAAAGTTCAAGTGTCAAGATAATGGGATGATTTGGGTGCGATAACTTAATTCTAAGCAACTCTAAAGTTTGAACAGACTTTTAAAATTATAACGAAACAATATTCAAAACATCTTAATTCTAAATTTAAACAAATAGCATAGTTTAATCCATTTATTATTGGCAGAGGCAGAGCGTGCTTAACATGGCGATACCCGCTTAATCTGAGACATCTAAATTGTACTTCAATTACAGCTTCGACTAGTCCCCCATCCTTTCCAGCTTCTTAGCCTAGTGAGTGAGATATCACGGTCGATTCGGAACGCATTGTCTAAGGCGGCAGCTAATCGGTTGCTAAGCTTAGTGCATCCACGGTTAAAACATCTAGATATACCGACTACGAAAACGATTGGCCTACAAGCTAAATACATATAACAATTACTGGCTCTCAGGTCTCCACGAGGATGTGGGTGAACAGGCTGTGCATGCGTCGCTCCACCTCCTTGTAGGCCAGCGAGTTGAGTCCATCGGAGTGCTGGCGCAGGGTCGCCGCCCTCAGGAGCGCCACCCGGTTGGCATTGGGCCGCTCCGGCTTGTGCTTCAGCATGGTGTACTCGCTGAACTCCATGGCAAAGCGACAGATGTCAATGTTCTTAGCCTGCAGGCGCTCGTAGAGATCGTCGTCCTCGCCGCCCCAGCCATGATACAGGTTGGACATACCGTTGATCTGCTGGAACTGGACGGTGTTGATGGCCACTACGCCGCCGAAGAGACCGCGATAGGGCAGTCGAAAGCGCCAGTGATCCAGGGCGGAGCACATGTGCCGCGGGCGCTCGGTGCACGCGTACATTTGACCCGAATTCAGGGGCAGCAGGTCCACGTCGTGCAGGATCAGGCATGGGAATCCATACTCGGCCGCCACCTGGGCGCCAATATTGAAGAGCATCGCCCGGTTGAAGGGCTTGTGGTCGAACTGCTCGACCAGGAAAATCCGATAGTGGATCAGCTGCTGGGGCAGGTAGTTGTGCATGTAGGTGAGGAAGGCGTGCAGCTGCTCCTCCCGCTGCCTGTAGGGCACAATAATGGCGGTGCTGTAGCGGGCCTGGCATCCCTCCGGTCGGAACTCGCCACCCGGATGGATTTCCCGCTGCACATCGTCGTGGTAGTGGGCCAGATGGTAGACGAACCGGTTCTCGGCAATAATCTCCGAGTACTCGCACTCGAAGACCTCCTGCAGCGACACATTCCTGGTCACCTGCGGCAGCAGTGCCTCCTCGATCTTCGATTCCTCGATGTAATCGTAGTGGGATGCGAACCGGAAGGGCAGGCACAAGTAAACGATCAGCGTGATGAGCCCGATGGCGAAGAGCAGGTCGTAGATGTGGAAGCTCCGGATCCACAGCCTCACGAACATCGTTGGCAGGAACTCTTGATTCAGCGGTAACTGTGGCTATTCCGCATCCTAGCTCCGGATGCAATCGAGATTCGCGGGCGGCTGGCGAATCACAGCTGACGACCAGGGATGCCACTCATCAACACGCGAACACTTCTACGGTGAGACCTCAATGTAACGCAATCTATGGTGTTTAAGCTATTAAAAAATTGGTATAAAAAATATTTTTAGACCATGAAAAATTCCTTTTTAATAAACTAAATTTTTTAATTCAACTTATCGCAACTTTGGAAAATAAATTCTTATTAAAAATTGTAGATATATTCATAAAAATCAATTTAAACAAACATTCACTCCTAATGAGCGTACACTGTATTTCCCAATACTTGCTTCCGCTGTAGACTTTTTGGGCGGTTCGCTATAAAAAGTCTGACTGCGCCCTTGTTAATTAAAAAAACTGATAAGGGTTATTTGAATAAGCAGTTATTTGATTTGAGTCATAGATAAGAAAATTAAAAAGCATAATATCGCAACATTTTAAAACATGTTTACAAATTAAGTCTTTCATAGGACATATATACAACTTTTTGATATTCAAGCATGAAAAATGGAAACATTCTATAAGCGGTTTGTAAAATTTTGACCATTTTTATTTTATTTATACATATTTAGAGCTTAATAAAAGTTTTAAGCAATAGGCTATTGATACTATGCATGTTTCTTGAGTAAGATTTGAAAACTTATTAAAAGTAAATTTATAATTTATAATATCACTTTAAAACAAAACTGTCAAATTTAAATATTGCCTATAATATTACATTTCGATGTTTTTTCGTGGTATCCATTGGTCTCTTTAACTGATATTCACTGTGTAAACAAAACAAAAAACAGTCTGGCAACGCCAGCAAAGTTCGTTCTGCATCCCTGGACCGGTGGATAACTACAAGTTTTTAGCAATTTCTTGTCTTTCATGTGTCGCAGGTTTAATTGGCAAAAATGACGTCCATTATCAAGCTGCACACCATTTCCGGGGCGATGGACGAGTCCCCGCCGTGCTACATCCTCCAGATAGACGATGTGCGGATTTTGCTCGACTGCGGATGGGACGAGAAGTTCGACGCCAACTTCATCAAGGAACTAAAGAGGTAAAACCTTTGAATCAAATGTGGGGACAATGATATATTTTGATTATTCCCAGGCAGGTGCACACCCTGGATGCAGTGCTGCTCTCCCACCCGGATGCATATCACCTGGGCGCCTTGCCGTATTTAGTGGGCAAACTGGGACTCAATTGCCCCATTTACGCCACAATTCCCGTGTTCAAAATGGGCCAAATGTTCATGTACGACCTGTACATGTCGCACTTCAACATGGGCGACTTTGATCTGTTCTCCCTGGACGACGTGGACACGGCCTTCGAGAAGATCACCCAGCTGAAGTACAACCAAACGGTTTCGCTGAAGGGCAAGGGCTATGGCATATCCATAACACCCCTGAATGCAGGACACATGATAGGCGGAACCATCTGGAAGATCGTGAAGGTGGGCGAGGAGGATATAGTCTATGCCACCGACTTCAATCACAAGAAGGAGCGCCACTTAAGTGGCTGTGAGCTGGACAGGCTGCAGAGACCCTCGCTGCTCATCACGGATGCCTATAATGCACAATATCAGCAGGCCAGGCGAAGGGCTCGCGATGAAAAGCTGATGACCAACATCCTGCAGACGGTGCGCAATAATGGCAATGTTTTGATAGCCGTCGATACGGCAGGTCGTGTCCTGGAGTTGGCCCATATGTTGGATCAGCTGTGGAAGAACAAGGAATCGGGTCTAATGGCCTATTCATTGGCCCTTCTAAACAACGTGAGCTATAACGTCATTGAGTTTGCCAAGTCACAGATCGAATGGATGAGCGACAAGCTGACAAAAGCATTCGAGGGAGCCCGCAACAATCCCTTCCAGTTCAAGCACATCCAGCTTTGCCATTCGCTGGCGGATGTCTACAAGCTGCCCGCCGGTCCAAAAGTGGTCCTGGCCAGCACTCCAGACTTGGAGAGCGGCTTCACGCGGGATCTCTTTGTGCAATGGGCCAGCAATGCCAACAACAGCATCATCCTGACCACACGCACATCGCCCGGCACTTTGGCCATGGAACTGGTGGAGAACTGTACGCCGGGCAAGCAAATCGAGTTGGATGTCAGGCGGAGGGTTGAACTGGAGGGCGCCGAACTGGAGGAATACATTCGCACGCAGGGAGAGAAGCTCAATCCCCTAATCGTAAAGCCCGATGTGGAGGAGGAGAGCAGTTCCGAGTCCGAGGACGACATCGAAATGAGCGTCATTACGGGCAAGCACGACATTGTCGTTCGGCCGGAGGGTCGTCATCATTCCGGCTTCTTCAAGTCCAACAAGCGACACCATGTGATGTTTCCGTATCACGAGGAGAAGGTCAAGTACGATGAGTACGGGGAGATCATCAATCTGGACGATTATCGCATCGCCGACACGGGCGGCTACGATTTCGTGCCGATGGAGGAGCAGAACAAGGAGAACGTGAAGAAGGAGGAACCGGGCGGGGGAGCAGATCAACAGGCCAACGGCGGTCTCGGCGACAACGATGTCCAGCTGCTGGAGAAGCCCACCAAGCTGATAAACCAACGAAAAACCATCGAAGTGAATGCCCAGATTCAGAGGATCGATTTCGAAGGTCGCTCTGATGGAGAGTCCATGCTGAAGATTCTCTCCCAGCTGCGACCACGTCGGGTTATTGTCATCCATGGGAATGCGGAGGGCACCCAGGTGGTGGCCAGGCACTGCGAGCAGAATGTGGGAGCGCGCGTTTTCACGCCGCAGAAGGGGGAGATAATCGACGTGACCACCGAGATACACATCTACCAGGTGCGCCTCACCGAAGGACTCGTCTCGCAGCTGCAGTTCCAAAAGGGCAAGGATGCGGAGGTGGCCTGGGTGGACGGTCGCCTGGGCATGCGCGTCAAGGCCATCGAAGCACCCATGGACGTTACCGTGGAGCAGGATGCAGCCGTCCAGGAGGGCAAGACTTTGACCCTAGAGACGCTGGCTGAGGATGAGATTCCCGTCCACAACTCGGTACTTATCAACGAGCTGAAGCTCTCGGACTTCAAGCAGATTCTCATGCGCAACAACATCAACTCGGAGTTCTCCGGCGGCGTTCTGTGGTGCAGCAATGGCACTTTGGCCCTGCGGCGCGTCGATGCCGGCAAAGTGGCCATGGAGGGCTGCTTGTCCGAGGAGTACTACAAGATCAGGGAGCTGCTCTACGAGCAGTATGCGATCGTTTAATATTAAAGGTGGTTCTCTCTTAACAGTAGTTTAAGATAATTAGTTTTTTATTGTACTGTCTACATAAACTGCAGCATGGGATCTTCCGCCCGCGGCCGCTTCTTCTTCCACTCCTCAATCTCGTCTTCTGTGGGCGCCTTCACATCGTACATGCTGTTGTAGGCCCGCTTGCGATCGTCCAGTTCCTCGGGAATCTCCTTCTTCTTGGACTTTTCCTCCTCCTCCTTGGCCTCCTTGTACTTGGACTTCTGTTTGCGCTGCTCCTTGGCCTTCTTTTTCTTCTCGCGCTTCTTCGACTTCTTCTTGGACCTTTTCTTCTCCGGTTTTACTTCCTCCTCTTCCGAAGAAGAAGAGGATTCTGAACTGGGCGCCGAGTCTACTTCGGAGGCGGGCCTTTCGGGTGGCACTTCTGGCACCTTAAATTGAACTTGGGCTGCGGGCTCTGCTGCGGAGCTGGTGGGATGCTGTTCCGAGTAGCCCTCCGGCTCCTGCATGCCCACACAATAGGAGTTCTTAATGAAGGACTTGCAGCACTTGTAGCCCCAGCGACCGGCGTTCCAGAAGCTGCCCCAAACGGTCGTGTGGTTGTTGATGTACACATCCTCCTCGTAGATGCTGCGCGCCTTTGGCTTCTCCACACCCTTGATCACCTTGCCGCTGCGCGAGTACTCGATGTACTCCTCGGTCTGGGCCAGCAGCAGCGATTTCGGTGGCACTTGCAAGTGCTCCTCGCCTCCGTACTTCTCAACAATGTGCGTTTTGGTCTGGAAGTGCAATTGAAATTGTTTTAATAACTGCTTTGGAGATTTCAGGCTAAATAAAGACATACACTCGACTTGAACTGTTCCTTCTTCTGCTCGTATTCCTTCTGGAGCAGCTCCAACTTGGTGGGTTCAGCCAGTAGATGGACATCCACTCCTTTGCCATGCGCCTCCCAGGCAAACAACTGGGCGGTGGCCTGGGCTGTGGTGTCGCCAGAGAAGCGCACAAAGTTTTCGCCGGCAAACTCAGCTCTGCAAGAAGGAAAGGTTAGGAAATATATAAAACTTACTTAAGTTTTTTATACATACTCTTCCTCTGGAACGGCAGGATTGGGATTGTCACGCATGGATCGCGTTTTGGGATCGTAGTAGGCTGAGTTCGGGTCCAAGTTCCGCAGGTATTTCGCCGTGTCCTCGCGAATACGCAAGTTGCGCACAGTGATGCGCTGTTTGGAGTCCACCTTGGTGCCCGGCATGTCCACCTCGTCCACATATTTGTCCTCGTTGCCCTCCTCATCGGATATTTCGGCATCGGGATCTAAGGGATTGAATAAAGAGTGATTTATGGAAATTAAAGGACTGTATTCCCACCATTTTTGAGCTTCTCCGCCTTGAGCTGCCGCTTGGCCTCCTCCACCTTCTCGTACTCCTCGATAATCTCCCTATGATTAGCCGGATCGTAGCTGCTCCAGCGGTCGCGCTTCTCGTCATAGTTCACCGCCGCCTCGTTGACCAAGTGCTCGTCGTGGACGACAATGGATTCGGCGTACTTGGCCTGCACTTTGCGCGGCCTTTCCAGGCAATCCTTGCGTTTGTGGGTCACTGCACCGCAGTTTTCGCAGGCGCCCTTGCGGAACTTGGTGATGATGCGCGTGGTATTCAGTCCCTTGGGCGCCCTCTTGTCCAGCTGACCCTGCTCGTCCTCGTGCTGTGGGCGCTGATGCTTGAGCGTGGGCCCCGCCGATCCGTAGTACCATGGGGCATTGGATATATACTGCGGAATGTGGGGATTTATGTCGCGACCCTCTTCGTCCACGGCGGCTGGCGCAGTTCCCGCTTTTCGCGCCTCCTCCAGCTCCTTGGCCTTGCGCCAGTCCTCGCGGGACTTCTTCTTGGGCTCCTCCTCGGCATCCTGGTCGTGCTTGCTCTGGATGATCTGCGAGACGGGCGTGCGCATGGGGCCCGAGCTCATTTTGGCTAAATTTATTTTATTTATTTACCAACTGAAGGGTAATCGATAAGTGTTATCGAATCGAAGAGTGTTGTTAAGGGGAAAAGTGAGCAAGTGTTGGACAACTATTCACTATAGAGACAGTGGAAACATTCATTTTGCGAACAGTGAGAATAGCTGTCGCATCCTGAGTTTATTTTATTCTTACCAAGATTCCGGCAAGATGAAGTTGACTTACTTCCTCCTAATTTCCGTCTTTGTGGCCGCTGCTGTGGCCAGCGATGCCAAGGTGAAGATCGGGGTTAAGAAGCGCGTGGAGAACTGCACCCGGAAGGCCAAGAACGGCGACTTGGTCCACGTACACTACAGGGTAAGGGCGATCTGCTGATAAGAAGCATCCCAGAAACCTAACCCCGGAAATTCTAATCTATTTAGGGCACGCTGCAAGATGGCACCGAGTTCGACAGCAGCTACTCCCGCGGCACTCCCTTCTCCTTCACCCTGGGCGCCCGCCAGGTCATCAAGGGCTGGGACCAGGGCATCCTGGGCATGTGCGAGGGCGAGCAGCGCAAGCTGACGATTCCCCCGGAGCTGGGCTACGGAGCAAGTGGAGCGGGCGGTGGCAAGATTCCGCCCAATGCGCTGCTCCTCTTCGACACGGAGCTGGTGAAGATCGAACCCAAATCGGGCTCCGAGGAGCTGTAGAGGAACAAAGGCTGCCATTCTAAGCAACATCCAAAGTTTACTTAACAAACCTTACTCAAAAACATGTATTTTTTTCTTTCCTAAATACTCTTTGTAGAATCATTCAATTTTTGTTTTATCATAGTATGCCATGAAATTTTTGATTTGTTTAATTCAATTCTATGTGAAATAAATTGAATGTTCTTTTAATTCATTTCGAATTAAATGAATGAATAATTTTTCTGAATTTTTTGCATTTGCCAGATTTTTTTATGCTTTCTTTTAAGAACAAGAAGTGGAAAATTTTTAACAAATCAATGTTAACTGCATAGTAAATTAAATTCAGGCAGATTTAATCACAAAATTATGGCCCTTTCTTCTTCTAAAGAAATTGTCGTTTGAATTATTTCGGAATTCATGCCATTCATTCATTTAATTCTGTTAAACTCAAAATTCTAATTAATTCAATTCTATTAAACTCAATATTCTAATTAATTCATTGAATCTATACTTTTTTGGCTATGCCACGACCAGTCGAATAAATGCCATTCCTTTTATACTACACCACACACGTTATTTATTGCAAGAACCCCCTATTTCTGTCGCCTCAGCCACGCCTCCACCTCGTCAAAGTGGCGCCGCATCAGCCGGTGCTTCTCCAGCGTGCTGCTCTGGATGAAGCGCTCGCCGCAGGTGCCGCACACGAAGGGGCACTCGCCGGTGTGCTGCTGCAGGTGGAGCTTCAAATCCTTCGCCTGCCGGTAGCTCTTCTCGCAGTAGGTGCACTTGTGCGGCTTCAAGCCGCTGTGGGTGAGCATGTGGCGCTTGAGCTTGTCGGAGCGGGCGAAATCCTTGCCGCAAACGGTGCAGTGGAATGGCTTCTCGCCGGTGTGCATTCTACGATGCGAGGCGAGCTCCGAGTGCCGCGGAAAGGCCATCTCGCAGAGATCGCACTTGAAGGGCTTTTCGCCGGTGTGCCGACGCATATGGGTCACCAAGGCAGCGGCGGATCTCGTCTCCATGCCGCACAGGGAGCACAGGAAGCGCTTGATGGCCTCCTTGCGCTTGCGGTCGCCATTAACGTGGACGTCACGGATGTGGTTGTTCAAGCGCGACTTCATCTGGTAGGTGCGATCGCAATGCGGACACTGCAGCAGCGGCACCCCGTCCTCGGCGGCATCCTTGTCCAGTTCGCCGCCATCGGAAATTCGCTTGACCCCTGAGGATTTCCCGTGCTGCAGAATAACGTGTTGCTCCAGATTCTCGGGCCACATGAACTTGTAGGAGCACTTGTCGCAAGGATGCTTCTTTTCTGTGCTGCTACACTGGCCCAGCCGGTGGTGATCCATGATGCTCTAGAAGATTAGTAAAGTTAAGAGAGGAAAGGAAAGGAAGGCAAGGCAAAACGCACCTTGCAGACACACTTGAAAATGCAGTCATCGCACTCGTGTGGCATTTTATCAAAACGATGCATCGTCCGCTGATGCTGGATCATTTCGAACTTCCGCTTGCACTGTACACTGCACAGTTCGCAGATATAAACGGGTCGACTGTTACCGCTTGATGGCATCTCGTCCTCCGTCTCCGAATCCTCCAGCTGCAACTCAAACCCAGACTCATTTGTTATGGAGTAATTGTGCAGGGAATCGTAGCTCTGGTGCAGCGACAAGGAAAGCTTCAGTTCCAGCTGAATGTGGGCCCGCAGATCGACGATACGCTCGAAATGCAGGTTGCACATGCGACAGGTGATGCGCTTCGCTCCGTTCGGTCGCGAGGTGGCCGCAATTAGGGTTTCGGCCAGTGGAATGTCCTGCTCCTTGAGACCATGCCGCTTCAGGTGCTTCACCAGGTAGTCATGGCGGTAGAACTTTCGACTGCACCACTGGCAGGGTATCAGCTTCGATTCCTCGGCATGCACGCTGAGCAGGTGAACGGTGAGGGATTTCTTCTTGTCGAAAACCCTCTTGCATTCGGGACACTCGAAGGTCTGATTCTGTAAGGTGCAAGTTTATAGACAGGGTTCAGAAAATTAGACACTCTGTAAAAAACTTGTGTTATTAACATGTTAAATGGAAAAAACATGTTAAGTTAAAAAAAAAAATTATTGACATGTGTTTAAAAAATTGTAGATTACATATGTTAGAAGCATAAATAACACACACAGGTTATTGGCGTTATTTACACGACGTGTTCTTTACACAACTTGTTTTTAACACAATGAGTTTTTGACATTAAAACGTCAGAAATATATGTTGATCTGAAAAATTCACGGTCTTCTGTAGTTGAAAAAATTCATATTTGCTTTGAAACGGTTAAAAATAACAATTAGGATATCCTGGTCGAATATTGATTCTTCATGTTCCCTTCGATTCGTTAATGTCCATAAAATGTAATTTTCATTTGTGTTAAAAACACAGTGTGTAAAAAACACGTCGTGTTAATAACACATTGTTTTTTTTTTTTTTTTTTTCACATGTCAAAAACTTTGCTCACACTGTAAAATGCAATTTTACATGTTTTTAACATGTGTGTTAAATTCCGAACCCTATAACTTATAGTATTCTGTTGGAAAATCGCTCCCAAACTCACTGTAATTCTGTGCTCGCGGAAGTGTGTTTTCAGGTTGTGCTTCCAACGGAAGCGAAGCGGGCATTTGTGGCATAGGAAACGTTTCTGTGCATTCCGGCACTGCGACTCGTTGTGGTGCCGCAGCAGCTGCAGACTCACAAAGCGTCCATCGCAACGCCCGCAGACATGGGGCGCCTCTGACCAACTGTGCGTCTGTCGCTGGTGGTCGTAAAGCTGATATTTTCTCGGGAACTTCTGCTGGCACAGTTCGCAGCTGTAGCTCGCCTTGCGCCACTTCTTTCGCCTCTTCTGCTGATCCTCCGGATCGCCGTCCAGTTCGCTGTCCGTCTCCGAGCTGTCCAGGTCCATTTCGTAGCCACTCTGGTTGGTTATCGAGTAGAAACGCTGATAGATTCCCGCCGCCAGATCCTTGCGAATCAGGCTAATCAACTGATCCTCACTTAGGTCCTTGGAGTCGGGGTAAAACAGCTCCGCCAACTCATGGGGCTCCACATTTGGGCGACCGCACAGGCTGACTATCTCAGGATGCTCCTCCAAGTGCCGCCGCAGATCGGCTATCTTGTTGTACTGACTCTGGCAGATCATGCACTCGATTAGCTTGTAGCCGTGCGGCTTGCAGAGATTCAGATCCACCGCCTTGGCCTTCTTGTGCTCGCTTATGTTGGCCGATCGCTTGGAGTTTCGATGGACCTTCAAGTGCGCTTCCAAAGCCTCGCTGCGGCTGAACTTTCGGATGCACAGGGAGCAGGCGAAGGAGCGGGTATCCTGCTTGTGTACGCGTATTTCATGACGTTTCAGGAACTCTACACGTTTAAAGCTCCTCGGGCAGTCCTGGCATTTGAATACGGAGGACTTCCTCCCTGTTTTCCACTGTTGAATGCGCTTGTCCAGCGGCAGGTCGTCCAGGGAGCTGCAATTTTTGTTGGTTAATTAAGGATTAAGGTAAGGATTAGAGTTCACCCACTCTTCGTCATCAAATTCCGAAGCGGCCTCATCTTCCGACGGCTTCTGCACGCTCCTCACTTCCGTTTCCAGCTTCACCGTCTCAATCATGGTCAGCGGATCCACGGACTTCTTGCTCTCCACATCCATTTCATCCGGTTCCGGAAGCTCCGAGCAAGTGATGTCCTCTTCCTCGTCCTCCGTCTCCAGCTTGACCTCCACATGCTGCTCGGCACACAGTTCCATGGGCGCCTCCTGCAGGCAGTCGGTGGTCGAGGGAGCAGCTCCTCCGTTCCTCAGGTGCTTCATCAGCAATTCGTTGGCGGCCAGCGCCTGCTTCACATAGCAATAGGCGCCCATTAGCTTCTTGGTGCATCCACTGCACAGGCACTGCGGCAGCTTCTGGCTTCCACTGGCATCCAGCTGAAAGGAGGAGAGCATTTCAATCACTGGTTTTTACTTATTTTCCCAACTTTGTTTACATTGATTTCGGTCAGCTCGCAGAGAATCTCGGAGAGCAGCTTGTCCGGATACTTTTTCGAGGGCGTGGCCAGCTTCAGCAGGTTGTCGGTGTCCGTGGAGTCGCAGGTGCGACAAATCACCGGCAGCTTCATGGCGAGCACCTTGTTTGCGGCCAATTTAAAGGCTTTTCTCAGGAAAATTCCAAATCAACAATCAGAAAAAACATTATTGATGGTATGACCTTGGGGCGTGAGATGAAAAATCCAGATTGCTCCATAAAAAATACCAAGTATCCGAAAAATACCGCAACGCAGGATGCGTTCACCAGAAGTCACAGGTTTATTATTGGGGCTATAGATTTAAAAACAGTGATTTTTTTAAAATTGGAATAAACATATATATATCTATTTTTATACCCAATTCTACCAGAATATCCCCTAATATTAATTACATTTTTCTATTGATAACTGTAAAATTATTTTTTATTTTGAAAATCTGTAAAAAGCAAAAACATGTCCAATTCAGATACTAAGATTATAATACCTCAGTTAACCGATTTGATTGTGATTTATTGGAGATCTCGGCTTTATAGAACTGTTGAATGCGCCCAATTCTTGAATGTAAAATCATGTATGCACTTTTAATCCTTTACTACTACGATAGAACGGGGTAAATTTGTTCTTTAGTCTACATTGGAGCTTAAAATATAGTTGTGTGGCGTGTGTGCGGGTGGCGTACGCCAACGGAAATCCGGCCAACCGACACCAAGCCTCCGATCCTGCATTCTAGTACTTCTTGATCGTCTTCCGGATGAGGGCCAGGCGCTGTTTGTGCGCCTCCGTGACGGCGGCCCGCTTGTAGGGACGCAGTTCATCCGTCCCGAAGCCGGGTATCCACATGTTGTACTTGCGCTCGAAATGCAGCTGGACGTCGCGCACCTCGATCTTGTTGGACTTGCGGTGCTTGGCGAAGGCGCTGGTCGACTTCACGGTGTCCTCGACAAAGTCGTCGATGATCTGGAGCAGCAGCTCCTCGACATCCTCGTCCAGCTGCGTGGTGGTGTCCACCTCCCTAACGAGCTCCGTGAGGCGCGGCTTGGTGAGCATCTACAAAGGGGGAAGAGGCTTATAGATGGGTTTACGGACATTCCGGGTGCAGTGCCTTACTGGGGTATTCTCGGATCCTTGGCCGGATGCTGTGTGATTGGATGACTTGCTACCAACACCGGAGGGGGTGCCCGAACCCGAACCCGTGCCCAAGCCGGAGATTGGACCGCCGTTCTGCGAGGATGAGTTGCTGTTGTTGGTCATCGGACTGTGCTGGGAGGGCGAGGCCATGGATGTGGAGTTGTGGTTGTGGTGCAGGTGGTGCTCGGCGTCGCCGTTGCTATCGAAAGTGGTAAAGAGATCCGACATTGCTTTTTGGGTTTCTTCAGACTCAAGAATCAAGTGGGTGGGTAGTGGGGTGGGGTTTTTTTGGGGATGGAGTGGGTGGTTAATAGTGTAGAACCAAAGCCAAAAGCGTTATTGTACTTGTTGTTTTTGTTGTTGTGTGTCGCCCTGCTTTCTCAACTGCAGTCGGTGTGTGTGGGTGTGTTTGATTGCAAGCGAAATGAAAAAAAGAATAGTAGTTGTAAATTTCATGTGTGGGTTCGAGTATTGCTCGTTTTTACGTGTAAATTTCAATTTAAGATAAACTTAAGAGTTGCCCTCAAAGCAGGCCACACTTACAATTGTTGCGGTCTAGACACTTTTCTCTTAAACTTATGTTTTCCCTAAATTACTAAACAAAATAAAAATAATCAAGCTACGGCCAAATGAAGAGTAAGACCGTTTCTGGGCGACCACAAAACGACAGCCACTCTTTGGTATTTTTCTATAACTTTTTAGTATATTTTATGGTCACCCTGGTATGGAGTTCAAAACAAAACAAAGACGGCGGCGTATTTTCCGAATATCACGCAGATAAGAAATAAATCGTAATTAATTGGAACAATAGCTGCGCATAAGCAAAATGTCAACGGCCGAGGCAACAACAGCGGACAGTCAGTCGCCGGAGAATGTGGAGGATGTGGAATTCGTGGACCTGGCGTTCACAAAGGAGTTGCGTAAAGCCACAAAGGATGTGCATAACCTGACCGATGTGCTTGTTAATGCAAAGTTCGCACTAGGTGGGTTTACTAATCCATTTAAATTTTATGATATCCTATATATTCTTATTTCCTAGCCCTTTCCGATGACGAGGTGTGGTACGATGGACTCTTGGCCTTCTACGAGCTGTACAAATTCTTCGAGACCCATCTGCCGGAGCGTCTGCTGCCCAAGGAATTCTACAGAACAGCGGCATTCGAGCGGGATTTCGACTATTTCTATGGTTCCGATTGGAGGGAGACCTACGAAGTGCGACCGGCGGTGCAGAAGTATCTGGAGCACCTGGAGAAGATTGCCGCCCAGAACGAACTGCTGCTGTTCGCGTACTCCTACCAGATGTACATGGCTCTGATGTCCGGCGGACAGATGCTGCAGAAGAAGCGCATGATTGCCCGAAAACTTTGGATCTTCTCCAAGGGCGACGGCGAGGAGCAGCAGAAGCAGGCCGACAAGGAGGCCGAGGTGGCCACCGCCAGGGCTGCAGATTCTACGCTGAACGAGGATGACTTGCAGGCCAGACCCATGCCCGCCCAGGTCACCATTTGTCCCCCTGGCTGCGAGGCCACCTATTTTCCTGAAAAGGTAAGTACATGCTTTAGTTCTCCCTTTCTTAAGATACACACAAAAAAAAACTTGGTAAAATCAACTGTTATAATTGTCAAACAGTCCCCAACCACAAAAATTGCCAATTCTACTAATTAAATAGTTACTTTTACAACAACAAACACACACAATTAGCAAGGACACACACCAATTTACTTGGTAGAATTGACAATTTTTTGTGGTTGGAAACTGTTTGACAATTTTTTACCAAGTTTTTTATTTCGTGTACGATTATAAGTTTATAAAAATATAAAAAAATATTTGAGTATATTAGAGAAATATTGGATTCTATAGACCAGTTCCCTATTACCCTATTGTAATTCCGTGACCTTATTTTTTAGATCTCCGTTCTAAAAGCCAAACTCAGGCGCGTTTTCAACAATCATTATGGAGCTTTTGACGATGATCTGCGTGCCGCTTTCATCGAGGAGAGTCGCAACGTATTTCGCCTAAATATAGAAGTTGTGCGGACAATCAAGGGCGTCAATCGTGCCAATCTCAGGAAGCTGGCCCTCGCTGTGATCTTTGTTTCTAGTATTGTACTGGCCGTAAAGTTTGCCCTTAAGTAAGCCAAGAGAAGAACAATAATGTTAGCTCCCCAGAGCAGCTTAGAATTGTGATCACACATTTATTTAGTCGTTTGTTAAAATAGTAAATATTCCTATGTACTGCTGATTTCAAATCTTTTTTATTGGGCTTTCTCGGAGGTGAAAAAATCAAGCAGTCCTCGTCTGTTTAACCACGGCATCACGCGCTCTATGTTCGCCCTGTAACGTTCGTTGTTGAACATCCCCAATCTCATTGAGTCCGCCTCCTTACTTTCCGCCATAAAGTCATTGGGCGAGAAGTTCTCATCGGTCTTGTTTAGGCAAATCGTCAGGGTGGTTAGCATGGTTGAAACCGCTAAAAGGAAAATAACTTAGTTTTCATTTCGAAATCAAAACCTCTTTCTAAGTTACCAAAAGTTGGGTGCTCCAGCAAAATGATGTGCAGTTCCTTTAGGGAGGGTACAAAACCATTGTACTTCAACAACTGGGCGTGCTCCTCCAAATTCTGATGATACCATCGGATGAGATACTCAAACTGATCGACCTTGATATCCAGGTGAGTGGAGCTCATTATGAAGTAGTAAAGGTCCTGGGCGGGATTTCCGTATCTCGACACTTGGTGATCCAGCAGGAAGGTTTCCTTGACATGGCCATCAGAGTCGTATTGGAACATCATGTTGTTTATCCAGGCATCGCCATGATTGAGCACATTGAACTCGTTCTCATTGATCTTGGAGTCTTCAATTATTTTGTCGATTTGGGTATCCAAAGCCGACGTCTACAAAATAATTATTAGTTTATTATTAACTTAAAAAATCGTTTAGCAAGCTTACCAGTTTGTCCAGATACTCATCGACGCCGTCAAACTTGGAGACTGCCTCCAAAAACGGCCTCCTCGTTTGAGCAAACATACCCTTGTAAATCTCTGCAGTTTGTTCTGTGAAAATGCCATTATTGTACTTCGACGGGTAGGCTCCATTGAGTTCCTTGTATTTCAGAGAGGCTGCATGCCACTGGGCCAATTTCTTCAACGTGCACTTGCTGTGCTCCAAGTCCATTCCCTTCATGCGATCGACCATGGTGAAACCGCCAGTTTGCAGGTTATCCAAAATCAGATACTCCTCTTTGACCTCCTTGCTGAGTCGGTAGGACTTGGCGCTAAAAGTGACCGGCAATCCAGCGTCCTTGTAGAGCTGCTCGAAAGCGGGTACATAAACGCTGTACACCTCGATCTCCTTGGCGAAAAGATTAAGGTCGGCGAAATTGATAAATTCATTGGCTGTCTGCACTTTCAGGATGTACGAAAAGGTCTTGAGGCTTTTGTCTATAAATATAAGGATAAAATAGTTGAAATATTTCTGATTTTCTTAACTATATTACCTTTCAACTGTGCCTCAATATCAACCTTCAAGAGCGTTGAAGCAAAGTTGTCCCCAGGTTTCGTGGCCGACTTTGAAGAACCGCTTACAATCTTCTCGAAATTGGGTTCGCTGGATGAAATGATGTCCTTAAAGTCACTCACATTAAGCCAGTCTAGGATCTGATCAGGATTCTCAGGCTGGGATTGCTTTAAAGGCTCCGTTGGTTCCAGTAGAGCAGGGATTGGTTTAGTGCTGTAAAGGTATTATATATTTTGATGTTAAAATAACATTTAAAAGTTCTCACCTCGGTTCTAGGAAACCACGATTGTCCAGCCAGGGCAGAATTCTTTCGATATATCCTTGATACCGCTTGTTGGCGTACAAAACGTTCCTGAAATTGACTCCAGCTTCCGAGTCTCCCATGAAATTATCGAATGTGGCCGACTCGGTGGGATCTAGAAGAACCACTGGCAGCACTGCAATGGCTGGGAACAGCACCCATCCTCCGTACTTTATTATCTTAGTGTGCATTTCCCTCAACGAAGGCTGGTGGCCAGTAAATCCCAAAATATCCAAGTGCTTCGTCAGCTCTTCGTGGTAATGTCTGACTAGGAAGTCAAAGGAATCCAGCTTATGTTCTATTTGCACGGACGTCATGATGAAGTACATTAGATCCATGGTGTTGGTGCCGTATTTGGGGTTCTGGAAATCGACGAAGACCATGTCCTCCAATTTTCCCTGGGCGTCCACCTTGAATAGCAGATTATTCATCCAGCAATCGCCATGACCTAGCACATTGAACTCAGTGGGATCGATGATACCGATTTTCATGAACTCCGTAGTTAGACCAGCAAGAATTTTTTCCTGTTAGGGATGGTTATAAAATAAGACTCTAGATTTAGTTACTTGAAATCAAGACACTTACAAGTTTCTCGCGATAGGCCTCTCCGTTCTTGAACTTGTCGAGATTGGCCAAAAACGCCGTTCGAAAAGATCCCAACATTCCCTCCAAAAACGCTTTAATGGCATCCTGGTTATTTCCCATCATGCCGTAAACGAAGACATCAGGATAGGGTCCATTAACCTCAACCATCCTGGCACCGGCTGCATGGAACTGGGCCAATTTCGTCAGGGCAAACTTGGCTTGTTCCAAGTTAAGGCACTCCAGACGATTCAAGTTCTTGTACCCATTCTGGCCGAGATCGGTCATCAGCACTGTGTTGGCCAGCTTGGGCTCCTTGGTGGCGTCCAATCGGAATGCTTGTGGGGCAAAATGGATATCCAGACCCTTGGCCTTATAGAGCTCCTCCAGTTTCGGTAGAACATCAATATAGGCCGTATTCTCGCTGTTGAAGAAGTTGGCAATGGCCATCATTTGATCCATTTGCGGAGTGTCATGGGGAACTTTCATCATAAACGAGACCAGCTTGGTGCTCTTGTCTAAAAGGTAAATCATTTATTAGTTGATAACTGTGATATTGCATTTTATAACGTCGGTGGGTCAGTTGTTGCCAATGACCATAAAATAAGCCTTGTCATTGTGAAAAACAAAATAATCGTCAAACTTTAATTGTTAACTGATTATAAATGATTGGTACGCATACATGTGTATGATTACTTATCACCGACCTACGCGAAGAACCCCACCTACTTTTCGATGTTATTTCTGGTTGGACAAGTGCCAAATTAGTGCTATAAATAGTAAGGGAGCACCCACTTGTTAACTCACCAGTGAGCTCCACATCTATACTGACCCTCAGCATAAGTGTGGCATAGTTTTCCCCGGGGGCCATCGCAGGCTTCACCCGGAAACCCACTATTTTTGAGAACTCAGCTTCATTTGCAGCCAGTAATTCCACAAATTGCGTTTCATTCAGCCACTTGGGTACCAAACTGCTGCGGTCAATCTCTGGTTCGGATTTGGCGACCGGCGCTGGGGGGTCAGAGTTCACCTCCGTTTTCTCGGCTGGCTGCTTTTCGAACTCCAAAGTTTTCACTTCATAGCTCTGCTTGGCCTTCGAATGCCGTAGACCCATCGTTTAGCTTTACGAGTATTTATGAGTATTTAGAACAAGAGGTTTTAACTCGCGATTCGCGTCCGTTCAACTGGTCGATCGGCGGTAAACTGATATTCGGCACACGACTGCGCTGCCTAGTTATGCATTTCTAATCACTGGTTTACTTGATAGCGCCGATAGCGAAACTTCTCTTATTTCATCAGTTTTTAGAATTTTACGCCTTGGTATAACTAATCAGTTTGAACTTAAACACTTCTTGTTGATAAGAGTGATTAGGTTGCTAGCTCAAACATATCAGATTATAGCTTGTTTTTATCAGTTTCTTTGTTTTCGATTACCATTACTTACTAGTCCTATCAATTATATCTTTCTATTCAATCAAATAATCAGAGATTTTTAAAAATTAGGGCAGGTTCGTGGCCAGCCAATGAAAATATAAAGAATTTGTATTCTTGATTGGAATCATTAGGCAAGTCAATATAGCCATGTCCTTTTCATTGAATATCATTTTCGATCTCTATATAGCTATAGATATAAACCATTGTAAATCGTCTTAAAACGTGATGGTTAAATAGCATTCCCTGACAAATTTCTAAGAAAGGAAAAAATAGTTTCCTAAATATCTGTAGACGTTCTTCCAGATATCTCTGTATATATCCTTGTCTATGTAAATATTTATTCTAAATAAATCTGCACAGGTATTAAAGCTTCGAAATGCCGAAATGCCCACATTGTTCTCCTGTTTTTAATTCATTTTTATTTTAGATCAATGTAACAAAATCAAGTACAACTTATTATTAATCATTGGTGAACAGTGTAATAAACGTTATATTAGGGAAATGAAACAAGATATATCACATTTTGGATAGAACTTTAGGGGTCCAGAAGACCTCTCCTATTTAGCCAAGGCATAATCCGCTGAATATGGGCTTTATAACGATTGTTGCCGAGAAGCTGTTGTCTAAAGGCTTCGGATTCCGGAGTCTCGACGAAGAATATCTCGGGACTGTAGCCCTCATCGGTCAGGCAAACGGTCAGGGTACTGATGACAGTGCCAACAGCTGGAAAAATTGAATTATCATATAAAATATTGAAATGATAATAAAATTTCCAATGCCCACGTACCAAAAGCTGGATGGTCTATCAATATGCTGTGAAGTTCGTTGAGAGAGGGAACAAATCCGTTGTATTTCAACAAATTGCAATGCTCTACCAAATTTTCGTGATACCACCTGATTAGATAGTCAAACTGATCGACCTTGATGTCCAGCTCTGCGGAACTCATCAGGAAATAGTAAAGATCTTGAGCTGGATTGCCGTACTTGGCATTCTGATGATCCAGCAGAAAGGTTTCCTTGAGACGACCCTCTGAGTCGTATTGGAACATGATGTTGTTTACCCACGCATCTCCGTGGTTAAGCACATTGAACTCCTTCTCATTGACTTTGGCATCTTCGAGGACCTGGTCTACATGGTTGTCCAAGATCCATGGCTTTATAAAAAAGATAATATTGCAAATTATAAAATATTCCTAGAGGTTCTGTATGATAATACTTTACCAGCTTAGGCAGATATTCCTCAGCGCCCTCAAACTTTTCAAATATTTTAATATACGAATTCTTGGCCATAGCAAACATATTGTGGAAGATGTCGCGCGTCTGTTCAATATAGATTCCATCGTTGTACAACGGGGAATAGGGTCCATTGAGCTCCTTGTACTTTATAGAAGCCGCATGCCATTGGGCCAGTTTCTTCAGTGTGCTCTTGGTGTGCTCCATGTCCAATCCTTTCATGCGATCGGCCATCTTGAAGCCCTTTGTTTGTAGATTCTCCATTAGCAGATATTCCTCTTTAACAGGTTTACTTAGAACAAAGGACTTTGCACTAAAGTTGATCGTCTGTCCCGCATCTTTATAGAGTTTTTCAAAGGCTGGCACATATTTGCGGTACATTTCCATTTCTTTGGGAAACATGTTTGCATCAGTGAAATTGTCAGGGGTAGCTTTTGGTTGTACTTTCAGTATGTAGGAGAAAGTCTTGGCGCTGTTATCTATTGAGTTTATAATGGTTATCATATTTTCAGATCATTTATATATTTACCCACCTTTTAGTTCTGCCTCTATATCAACTTTCAAAAGTTTAGACGCAAAATTGTCTCCGGGTTTCGTCGCCGAAGTCCAAGTTCCGCCGACAATCTTTTTAAACTCGGGATTGGAGGAGGATATTACTTCCTCAAAGTCACTGATATTAAGCCAGTCTAATATCTGGTTGGGGTTTTCAGGCGGTACAAACTGATTGCTAAGTGTCGGAATAATTAATACCAAGGAAAAACTTATTTTTTTACTTAAAAACTTACTAGGCTTCCAGGAATCCCCTATCATACAGCCATGGCAGAATCCTTTCAATATATCCCTGGTAACGTTTGTTGGAGAACAGAAGGTTTTTAAATTTAGCCCCATCTTCGGTGTCTCCCAGGAAATTATCAAAGGTGGCCGATTCGTTTGGATCCAGGAGCACCACAGGCAGCACGCTGATCGATGGGAAAAGAGCCCAACTTCCGTGCTTGAACATCAGAATGTGAAGTTCCCTTAGAGAAGGCTGCTTGCCGGTGAAACCCAGCAGATTAAGGTGTTTGATCAACTGTTCGTGATAATGCCGAATGAAAAAGTCAAAATAATCCAGCTTGTAGTCTATGTGCACGGAGGTGATGATTAGGTAAAACAAGTCCTGAGTGGGAGAGCCGTATTTGGGGTTCTGAAAGTCAACGAACAGCATATCCTCCACTTCCCCCTTTGAGTCCAACTTGAACAGCAAGTTATTCATCCAGCAATCACCGTGGTTCAGTACATTTAACTCGTTAGGATCGCTCTTCATCAGGTGTTCAAAGTCCAGGAATATCTGAGTAAATGCAGAGTCCTGGAAATAATCGCTTGGTTATTATATCATCCATAAATTAAATATGAAATATTACCAATTTTTCCCTAAAGCTTTCTCCGTCCTTAAAGTTCTTCAGATTGGCCATGAAAGCTGTTCGGAAGGACTCAATCATTCCCTTGTAGAATGCCATTAGAACCTCCTTGTTTCCGCCCAAAACTCCGTTTACGAATATACCCGCAAAAGGTCCATTCACCTGAACACTCATCGCAGAAGCCGCATGAAATTGGGCTAGTTTCTTCAGGGCAAACTTTGTTTGCTCCAGATTAAGGCACTCGAGGCGATTCAAGTTCTTGAAACCATCTTGTCCCAGGTCATTCATTAGCACGGTGTTGGCCAAATTGGGTTCCTTCTTGGAGTCCAACTTGAATGCCTTGGGAGCGAAGGTAATGTCCAGACCCTTAGCCTTGTAGAGCGCCTCCAATTTGGGCAGTATATCCGAGTAAACTGCATTCTCGCTGTCAAAGAAGTTGGCCATGGCCAACATCTGTTCCATTTGGGGAGTTTTGTGCGGAACCTTCATCATGAAGGAGACCAGTTTGGTGCTCTTATCTGGCGGTGAGATCGGGTTTTGGAAACTCGTTAGTTGAAATCATACAGCCAATCTAATTACCGTTGGACATGCACTTGCTATTATTGAAAAATGACTCAAACAACAAGCATTTATTGTTTACTGGCTATAAATGAATTGAAGATACTACTTATCAAACTTCTATACAAATAAATGCCCTCATTTATGGCGCTTTCTAGGCCGACAAGATTGGGCATTCTATCGGGCTAACAAGACATGGAATATGTAAGGAAAAACTCACCAGTTAGCTCCACATCTATGCTGATCCTCAGCATAAGCGTGGCATAGTTTTCCCCAGGGGCCATGGCGGGTTTCACCCGGAAACCCACTATTTTGGAGAAATGATCAACATTGGAGGCTAGTAATTCCTCAAATTGCGTTTCATTCAACCATTCTGGCCCCAAGTTCTTTTCCTCAACTGGAAGAGGACTGGTGGGGGATTTCGACTGGTCCGATTGAACGGGTGACCCCTCGATATTCGAACTTTTTATTGAGGCCTTTTTTTGAGCTGGCGCTACTTCATAGCTTTTTTTCGACTTGGAATTACGTGATCCCATGATGACTAGAAATCGCGAATTTTATACGTCCGTTCGACTGGGGGAACGAATGTGAACTGATGTTTGTCGGCGAAAGTTCCCCTCTAGTTATGCCGTTCAGATCGGCGTTGATATAGTTAAATTATTTCATCACCGCCGACAATTTTACGCTCTAGCTTAATAGAATTGTTTGAGTGAGTTTAGATTACTTGTTGAGTGGGTGCGATCCACTCGAAAACAGTGAATCGTGAATCCAACTCAGTGATAAGAATTGTTTCAACTGATAAACCCAACGCTCAGTGCTCAAACGTCAAATCAGTGATAAAAGTTTATAAGCTGATAGTGCAATTTGTTAAACAATCTTTTCTTTATTTACTTACAAATATAATATCAACAGTTTCTAACATTTATTTGGTAACTTCAAAGGCGCCACGTCGATAGGCCCAGGGAAGAATTTCTTTTTGGTTTTTAATCATGCGGGGGTTCTTGAACAGGTTGTTCCGGAACTTCTCACCAGCTCCAGCTCCTTCGCTGTCCATCAGACTATCCATATTAGCATCATCACTGCCATCGACCAGAACAATGGGCAGCAAAAGGGATATAATAGGCAAAACTGTGGTTCAAAGAAAGGGGATTAATTAGTATTTAAAGATGATAATATTCCATGATTAACTTACTCCAGTCACCGTGGGCAAAAATCGATTGGTGTAGACTCCTGAGAGAAGGCAGTGCTTTTGGGTACTTCAATAGCTTAAGGTTCTCCGTTAGCTTTTCATTGTAGTACTTCAACAAGTAATCAAATTTGGCTATTTTTATGTCCAAATGGGTGGACGAGAGGATAAAGTAAAGTAAATCTTGGGCTGGCGATGAAAACCGACTCATCTGCAGATCCACAAAGTAAGTTTCCAGCAGGTTTCCCGCCTCATCGTGCTTGTACATGAAGTTATTGCACCAGGCATCTCCGTGATTCAGAACACGGAACTCTCCTTCGATTTCAGGAGCATAGGCCTGGAACATGTCCTGCGCTTGGCTGCCATAGGTTTCCTATAAAATATAAGGTGTTTAGTTTTAGTATCTTCCGAATTTCTTTATTGTATTTAGTACTTACCACAGCTTTGGCCAAATGAGTGGCATCGTAGAGCGCAAAGGATTCGACATAGGACTTCGTTTGGGTTTCGCGAAAGTCCTTAAAACTGTCTTCTTCACTGCACAGGTTACGATTGTATTCAGCGGGATAGGCTCCCTTGAGTTCAAAACGCACAGCGGAGGCGGCATGAAACTGCGCCAACTTCTTCAAAGTGGCCTCTGTATGCTGGATATCCAATCCGTTTTGACGATCCACATTCTTGAATCCCCGCTTGCCCAGATCCTCCAAGACGATCAGTTCCTCTTCCGGTTGACTCTTTGCCTCATAGTAACGTGGTCCAAAAGTAACCTCCTTTCCGGCATCTCTGTACATCTGCTCAAACTCGGGAATGTACTCTCCGTAGGTCTTGCGCTCCTTGTCGAATACTTTCCAACTGGCGACGTTATCGCGGTTTCCAGAATTTGGCAATATTTTAGCCATATACGATACACTCTGAAGGGAGCCATCTAAAAGTGAAAACCAGTTAAATTTAATTAAATTTAATATTATTTTAAAAAATCTAATAAAAGCCTTAATCATTAATATTGATTTAGTATTTAGTTCTTTCATCACTTACCATCTAGTTCCAATTCAAAATTGGCCCTCAACAGCAACGTTGTGTAGTTTTCACCCTTTCCCGCTGTGGGTTCAAGACGGTATGATTTAATTCTCTTGAGGCTCGGAAAATCACGATCTATAAACTCGACGAACTTCTGCTGATCAAGCCACTTTGGTAGCTGCTCAGCGGTACTGTCTTCTTTTCCCTGAACCATTCCGTTTACCTTTTGCCGTCGTAATTTGCGCCATTTCGCGAGGGGGCTGCCTTATATATTGGTCTAATCACTTGAAGCTTTTTGTTTTAAAGCTTTTGCTCAATTTCGTTGGGTTATGATTAAAGTCCGTCGCGTGGGAATGCTTTTCGATCTGGGTGGACCTGTTTGTTTGGATCGGCGATAGTCTATGATTATGATTGTGAAGCAAGAACCACATTCATGCCTGACCGGCAAGAAAAAAGTGCCCAATCAGTCATTTTAGTCGCCGTGTAGCACATTTGATCTTGCTGCTTGAACTCTGATGATCATGATCAGGTTTAAGCTATCTTTATGCCAGTTCATTCTTACGACGACTTTTTCGCAACGATGACTGGCTAAATACGGTTTTGTTTATCTCCCTTAATATTCTCTACACGAAGCTTTCAGCAAAAATTTCTTATCCCCCCACAATTAAACAGGTTGATGAGCCTCCCAAAGCTTTTTTTAGACACGTTCCTGCATTTATTAGTTATTAAAACCATACGTTATCTTATCTCAGATTGTAATAGATGTAATTAAATGGTTTTGATATGAACATGTTGTCTAGTCTTCTTCGAAGTAACCACGATTCTCCAACCAGGGTAAAAGTTCTCTAATTTGAGCACCGAAAGCAGGATTCTTGAAGAGCTCATCTATGTCATTACTTCCAAATTCCGAGAGCAAAATTGGCAGAATTTCCGTGGCGAACTCAAAAGCTGTTAGGAACACAATTAGCATCCAATAAGGAGATAATAATATTCATTTTGACCTACCCCAATGACCGTATTTCAGCAAATCCAATTGAAGATCCGTGAGGCTGGGCTTCTTGGCCTGGAATTTCAGCAGGCTTAGATTTTCGGTCAATTGATCGTGGTAGAACTTTACGTAGCCATCAAATCTAATGGTTTTTTCAGCCGGGGCAGTGAGCAGTAAACTGAAAAGATCGTAGACAGCTGGACCATATTTGGCAGCGTGAAAGTCGCTAAAAAGCGCATCCTTAACATTTCCGAAGGCATCGCTTTGGATGAGCAAATTATTCGGCCAGCAGGATCCATTTAGAATGACATTAAAGGAAGTTCGCAAATCCAGAATACCCGCATTAGATTTCACATACTTTTGAAATGATTTCTGTGAATTATAATTGCAATTACCAAAAGGGTATCTAAGAGTAGGCTTTTGATAGTACTTACCACCTTATCTTCGTACTCTCTGGCTTCGTTTGATCGGAGACTCTCGTGAAATCTCATTTGATACAAGCTTTTGAGTTCGGCAGCCTCATTCCCCGATTTCGAGTGCTCCCCGAGCTTGGGAAGCTCTTTAATCTTGGCGAAATTATTCGCTATATAGCAAGCTGTTCCGGCATGATAAGCAGCCAGTTTCGAAAGTACTCCTTCCATGGCGTTTACGGACAAACCTTTCAGGCTATTGGCCACGGAATAACCTCTGTTTAGGATATACTCTATATAGAGATGGTTGGATTTTTGTTTTCCTTGGATAACCGGCGGGCTGAAGTGAATGATCTTATCTGCATTTTTATACAGCTCCTCCAGGGCAGGCAGTACATTATCGTAAATATTACGTTCCACTGAGAAATCCCCTTTAATGGGCACCTTCAATCCAATGGATACCGATTCCGGGGATTTGATTAGGTAACTCACTTGGCGTTTCTTGTTCTCTGCGGTTAGTTAAGTGTTAGTTAATAAGGTCACATAATATATACTAGATTTCTTACCTCCTGTGACTACCTGTAGATAAGCACAGAGTGCCGGTTGTGCCAGTTGATTCTCCCATTTGTATCGTATACTTTCGATTTTCCTTAAATCCGGAATCTCCTGTTTTACCAACAATTCCAGATCCTTTTGCTCCAGCCAATTAGGCACAGAGGCATCTTGGGATATTTGTGTTAACAGAATTGGGCTCGACATTCTCCTTCGTTCCCGATTGCAAACTGAACTTGGCCCGGCAATTTTATGACAACCAAGAAAACCCAGCCAGTACTTTTCATACATATGTGTACACAAGAATCGATAAGTGCGTAGATAGGGAATGTGGGTTATATGATTGAAATTTACGAAGTCAGGCAAACATGATTGCTGGTTTTCAAGCTATCTTAGATAAGTTAGTTCGAACACACTATTAATTCGCACAAAATGATAGTGATACGTTTGGTTCCGACTACTCAAATGTTAAGAAGTTCGGAAAACATCTGCTGTATTTCCTGATAAATCCCATCTATCATGACCTAATACATATTGCATTCTGCCCTAATTGAGTCGGGAGAAAGTGTCGAAAAATTGCGAAAAATGCCCGAAATTGTAGCGAATTTCAATTAATTTGTCATAGCGATTTGACAAGGGGAGGGATTTGGATAGTCAATCTCAGTGAATAGATGAACATGGCGATTTTCTTTTGGGAAAAAGTTAATATGAGGCACGTGGCAGGGTCTTTATAAAATATATTTTAATAAACTAAGTTTCCCACACCGCAGGTGACGGAAAGATCAACTTAAGGAGTTAAGATCTAGAGATACAGAGATAGCAAAGAGTTTACTGATGCGCTAATCGCCGACACGTGAGTCCACTTTATAGAGAAAAGGGTATGGCAAGCCACCCCGAAAGCGATCTAATTCGGCATGAAGTGTCACAAATTCATCAAAACATATTGTACACCAAACTACCAAAACATCGGCCGCAAGGGGCGAAGTCAACCCCCAGGTAACAGGCCAATTTTCTGACTTCCGCACCCGAATATCCCTGCAATATCCGTTCCGAATTAATTTGGTCCACGGACGAGGGGCGCTAATCTGTTGGAAATGGGCGTTGAACGCAAAAATTCCTTGGTATTTAGCCGGGAATGAGCATCAATCCCTCAAGTGTTACACTTGTTCCTGGCTTTTCCTCGGTTAGGGGTTGCTACAATTGACTTTGAATTGCAGCCCTCCCTTTTTGATTCTCCCCTAACCGAGTGCCTCAATTTATTAATAATAATTTCACGCTTTGTTTGCCTTGTCAAATTTTGTATAATAGTTTTCGTTCTTTTTTTCGGGTTCCGTTTAGGGAACTTTAGCGCTATGTATGCAATGTGACTTCATTGAGACCACCGAATGGTAGTAGGCATGTGTTTTTCCTTCCAGCATCTGCAATTATTCGCACGCAAATCACGACACGCTTCGCTTTGGTTTTGCCTCGGATTTTTCAGTAACAAGTGCGGGTTGTGTTTTGGGGGATTATCAGGTGTATGTCGGTGGTACTTTTGACTTTAAAGTCACCACCATGTTTAAGCAACTAATTTGTTTGCTTTTTCATTTACAGAATTTGATTATCTCCAAACTCGGTGTTTTTAAATGAGATTATCTTTAAATTTGTTTAATTTTTATTTCTTTAGTTTTAGTGCTAATAATTGACTTAAGTAGGAGACATTCAAACAATTAACATTTAATTTAAACAATTTTAAACAACAATTTAGAATTATTTATAAAATCTCTCTAAAAAGGACCATTAAAAAATATTTTTTTAAATATTCTACAACACCACAGATCTTTCAATTTTTCAAGCAGTATAACTTCATTGAAATTTATCCTTACCCTCAGCAATCCACTTTTTATAATTTATATTTAATTATAATAATTTATAACTATTCCCCAAAAATTAAACAAAATATTTAACACTTTAGTGGATTCTTTATTGTTTTTTAAACAAACATTTATGTGTTAATGGTTAACATTATTCATTAGTTGCTATCTACAAGTAATTAAGAAAAACTGATAATAAGATGGTAGGAAAAATTTCCGTACCAATACTACCAATTCAGTTTAGGGCTACATTTTAGTATTATAATTATAATTATCGACTTGCTTTCCTTGAAGTCTAGATATTGTAGATAATACTATGAACTCCCGGATAATCCTGAAGAACCTCTCTACGTTAAACTGTGATTATAGGGCGAGGCAAAGTCGCGTTGATAGGCCGCCGCGGGATGCAAATGGTGCGGATGAATCGGTGGAGGTGGCGCCTGATGGTGTCCATTCATGCTGCCATAGACTTCCGACCGGGACTTGTGGGAATTGGAGGGCGTGCCACTGAGCAGCTCCGCCATGAATCCGATGTAGGTGATGGCCAGACGAAGGGTTTCGATGCGGGAAAGTCGTTTTTCGTAGGCGAAAGTGGGCACCTTGCGGCGCAACTTGTCAAAGGCCTCGTTCAGGTTGAACATCCGTCGGCGTTCGCGGATATTGGCAGCTCTTCTTTGGGCCATGCTGGCCACCCGACGACGGGTCTTCTTCGAGGAGCTGGAGGATCCATTGGCTCTGCCATTTGAGGATGAAAGTTGGGGTACCAAAGGTGTAACCTGCGATCGTTGCCACAGAGCTGTTTCATAGGAATTATAATTTTAATACTTTTTCCTGGAGTTTTTCCCCTGGAAAAACTCACACAAATCGGTGCAGGGAAACCCAGCAATGAGCTCCTGGTAGGGAACTATGGGCGGCGGAGGAGCCTCCTGACCCCAAAGCGGCTGGAATGGAACCTCCGGCATGTAGGTGGGCTGGTCACTGGGATGTGGATGCTGCATGACTGTCTGTCGAATTGGCTAGTGTAGCTACTGCAATTGGAAGACCTTGGGTCTGTTCTGCTTGGAAGACTGCGTTGCAATAAATTCTGATTGTATTCACGGACTGCGAAGTCAACTCGGTCCTGGTTTGAATTTTCCTTATTGGATTTTCCTCCCCGCAGGATGGAAGCATCTGCACGGAGGCCATTTTGGATTGGCAACAGTTTGGCGCGTTGCGATTGGTCGTCCTTGGTCGAGGGTTGCTGAGGTGACTTCTGATGTTCCGGCTTACAAATGTGTTTAAAAAGTAATATCTAATACAGAAGAGGACAATATAAAACAAACTGTGTATTCCATAGTATATCATATTACGTCCATTGAATTAAGCTGTGTATTCCATATTATATCATATTACGTCCATTGAATTAAGCTTGATCTGTAAAATATATTGCATGAGTTCTTAAGTTCTCAATACTTTCCCATTTACACTTATTTTGGTAAATTAATATAGGGACATGGATTAACATAAAGAAGTCCAGATCAAATTTCTTACCCTTCTTAAAAGTTGTATTTAATTATTTTTTGCTTTAATATTTATATATTTTTATTAAATTGCCTAACTATAGTTCATTCCGTCCTCCTGCTAAACCTAAGTTAAAGCTAACAGTCAAATTTAAATTTGCTGCTTAAAACCTACTTTTAGTTTAGCATGTAAACGAGAAAACAGCCTTAACAAAGCTTGCTTTAAGGATTGAGGTCCTTCATTTGGAGGACTAGCCAGTTCTGAAACCCATGAAACGGTAATAAGCTCGTGGTTCTTGTCTAGGTTACAGGATGCGTTTTCCTGCCATCCGATACACGAACCATTACACAAAAATAACCGGTACTTCGAACTTCCCGAAAAGTGATTAAAACTAATGCAGAGGCAAACTTTATTTTTAAAATTTAAAAATAAATTATGTAACTTTTAATACTTATTAAAAATACATAGAAAGGCTTATTGACTTATTAAATTAAGTGCGTTTCCAAATTCCACTTGTATTTAAAGTACCTATCTGTTGCATTTGTTTTTGTTTATATGAGACTCTCTAGGAATCTTTCTCCACATTCAGCTCTCCTGCTGAATTGGGATTCCACTGCAACTGCGCGGATAATTTTGCCGGCTTCGAGCTCCCAATCGCCCAATCCGCCAGATATTGCGATGCCATGGAGATGAAAGGCATTCCCCCAATTGTGCCAAGTATTTAGCCGCGTGGCAACAGGACAGCGTCCGAGGCTTAGAATGGAATGCGCCGTCAGACTGACGGTAAGCCTTTGATGGGCATTTCGAGGTCTGATTCCTTGGGCGGTCGTATCCATTCGCATTCGGGGGATTTCATTGTCGCTAAACTTTTCAATGGGGCTGATTGGAAAGAGGGGAGAACACATCTTCAACTTTCGGTTTGCATTCGAAAGTTTCGTTTTTATGGCTCCAAATGAGGTTTCCAGTTTATTTATTTAGTTCGTTTTATGTTCTCCTCCGCCAGAGGAGTGCTACTCAAGGGTGCTTCATTGTGTCAATAGCCTGAAATTGGATATCAAGTGCCTCGGATACTGTCAAGCGGAGACAGACAGCTGCGTTGAAGTGTTACCACTTTTTGATGACTCCATTCAGTCGTCCTTCTCGAAGTTCCAGCGCTATGAATTCCGTTTAAAAATAGTTTTAAAAATTTGCATTCATTTCATTTCCACCCATTAGACGGAGTCCATTGCCTCAATTTTAAAGAACAAACAAACTCCATCGTAATCTTTCGATTTGTGCAAGCAAAAGGGAATTCAAGTAACAAGAAATGTCTGAGGCGATTTGTTTGTGTCTGCGTCTGAGCACTTGCCAAGATTTATGCCCCCTGTGATGGCAAACTCAGCCAGCTTACATTATGAAAATGTAAAAATATGAAAATGTGGAAATTTGAATTTGGCACCCCCCTCTCTTTTCTTCCGCATTTCGTAGCGCTTTCTGCCATTTCCTAATTTTCCACGCAAATGCATTTTATTTATTACGCAATTTGGGGATTTGTACTCGCAGCCGCAACTGTTGTAAGCGACATGAAAGCGCTTAGACTCCGGAGTCCGGAGCGTTAAACGAGGCATTAGCCCCAGTGGATTACGGCTAATACCATTGTGTCCCGAGACGACAGTCGTAACGGGGCGTATACGGGATATCCCCAGGTGCAGCTGAGAGAAATATATATTTACCTTTTAAATGCAAAGAAATAAAAAATACTTAAAAGTGAGACTTGCAATTTAGGACTCTATAGAAATATTATTATTTCGTATTATAAATAGTATTAAATACTAGTAAGCCATAGTTACAATATTTATATTTAATTGTGTTAAATATGTGTTAAAATATTTACCTTTTAAATGCAATGAAATAATAAATACTTAAAGGTAAGTCTTGCAATTTAGGAATCTATAGAAATATTATTATTTAGTATTATATTAAATTTTAATAAGCTATAGTTACAATATTTATATTTAATTGTGTTATTAACATGGAGAATTGTCGGATTCTGCATAGGCAAATCAATGAAAAAAGTGAACAATTGAGTGCTATTAAATTGGGCACGTGCGTATTTCGTTTTACTTGATAAGCAGAGCTCAATCTGTGAAGATTTTAGGGGCCTCTTCTCACAAAAAAATTCTAGTACGACTGTTCTCTCTGTCGGATTATTTAGTTTTTTAGTTGCGATGACGAGAATCGGACCTCTGTTTTGGACTAGCAGCCTACTGCTGTTTAGCATTGTGGCTGCCGCTGAAAGTGATATAGTCGCCAAGGTTAACCCCAATGTCGTAATCCTCAACGAAGTGCTTAGTAATATGGATGAAAGTGTCGAGCCCTGCGGGAGTTTTCAAAACTATTCAGTTAAAAATATAAAACCACTTAGGCTGCCGCCAATCTTACCCGAATTCATAACCCTGTTCGAAGAACTGAATAATCAGACTTTTGAGGAGGGCAGCCTGGAACGGAAGGTGCAGCGGGTCTACAATATCTGTTTAGTCTCAAGGTTAAAAGTCCAAGAACCACAGGAAATACTTACTCTACAAGAACTGGAGGACAGGTTCCAGGTATCCCTCGCCGATTTCCTGAACTACTACTATGGACGTTATGTTTCGCCGAGCTCTGTGGTCTATATTGAAAACCTAGATTACGTGATACGTTTAAAACTATTGTTAGAAAAATTTAATGCCAGCGATTTGGAGTATACTAAAGAAATTGTACACAGTTTTGAAGTAGCCCTAAGGTTTCCCGCAGATTGTGCGGATTTCGTGGCAGTTCGCATGGGACTGGCAGTCAACTTGTTGTTCGAGGAGCGTTTCCTGGGTTCCGAAAAACTGAATCGGTTGCAGTCGAAAGTGGAAAAGATTTTTGAAGCCATCCGTCAGCAAATTAACATCAGTCTCCAAAGAAACCCACTAAACTGGACGATGCCGGAGATAGAAGCTCTCCAGGAGAATATAAATAACTTGACTCTTAGGGTTGGAGGCATTCCGAAGAATGTCAATCGCCGTGATTTCGTTACCAAATACTACGAGGGTCTTGACTTCTCCGACGAAGACGACATGACAAGATTTGCCACTCAAAAGTTTACCCTTTGGCGAATGCAAAAGAATCCGGAATTCAGAACTACGAAATTGAATACGGTTACCATAAATAAGAAATTAATCGTAGTGTCTTACTTACTTCTGGCCAATTCCACCTTTGAGCTCGAGAGCCATGACTTGTTTCAGATGACACCGCTCGGAATTCTGTTGGCCTTCTATATGCTGAATAGTTACAAGCCAAGTAATTGCAAGGAATATAACAACACTCCCTATAACACTCCCCACTGGGAGGAGGAAACCCCAAATGATGCACTAAACCAATTCTGCTGGAAGCTGTATTCTGGGGATAAATCATTGGCAAAGCAACACACGATTCTTCTGCTTCTGGACCTGGTACACAAAGCCTACTTCGCCGCGGACTCGAACTTTAACCAGTCGCAGCCCAGCTTCACCACCAAGCCGTTGAGTCAGCTCTCTTTCTTGAGGTTGGCCCAAACCAGTACACACCTTTTTGGTCTCCAAACTGAACTGCTCGACAATCTATTGCCAGTGCAGCCATCATTCGTCCAGGCTTTTGACTGTCCTGACTTTATGTAGGATGGCAATTTAAATAAACGAATATTTTTACAATAAACCATTAGTCAGCATTTTTTAGTAACTGTTAAATAAACGAAATGATTTTTCTTATCAGGAGCTTTAAAATAAATAAATAAACACTATCAGTCAACTTAGTGATGACTCAATAAAGCCTTAATCTCTATCAAAATGTTAGTGTTTATTTTTTTTTTGTAATTAAATTTAATTCAGATTTTAATCTCCACATGTGCACAAGTTGTCTTGTATTGTTGTGTTCACAACTGAGAATTAAATTTGTAGCCAAACTTTTGACAAATTAAAGCAAACCTTGAGATTAAAGCGATTTGTGTGGGAGTTGAGCATAACAAATAATAAATACACAGAAGTAGTAAAAGGAAGCCCACATTTAAGGGTAGTTTCCCGCAGAAGAGACGTCTAATCGAAATTCTCCGTAATAATGGTAAGACGGCGGATCCTCAGCTCGATTCTTCCGAGGATTCAGGCGCTTAGAAGCTACCGCTCGACTTTTGTGCAGGGCACCCGACTGGAGTACGTCTCCTACAGCACGCTACGTAATCAAATGGAGGCGCCACCCATTGTGGTGATGCACGATCTCAATTTGTCAGGGGAATCGTGGCGCCATGTGGCTAGCAATCTTAGTCAGCATGGTCTGCGCCAGGTGATCACGGTGGACGCTCGTAATCATGGCCTCAGTCCGCACATCTCCGGTCACTCAGCGATGCATTTAGCGGCCGATGTGGAGGCCTTAATGAGCCACCAGAGCCTCACAAAGATCGTGGCCCTGGGACACGGAATGGGCGGCAGGGCGATGATGACCCTGGCTTTGACTCAACCGCAGCTCGTGGAAAGAGTCATCCTGGTGGACATCACCCCTGCACCGGTGCCCAGCAACTTTTATCTCACGCGACAGGTGTTCGAGATGATGCTACAGGTGGCGCCCACCATTCCTCGTAATCTATCCCTCTCCGAGGGTCGCATGTTCATCCTGCCCATCTTCCAGGACGTCGTCCAGGATGTGACCGAACTTCAGCGCGTTGTCTTCAATTTGCGGAAGATGCAGGATGCTTCCTTCGGCTGGGCTGTGAATCCGCAGGCGGTTCTGAGCTCCTGGTCGGACCTCATGATTGACTACGAGTCCACTTTGGGTGGACTAAGTCCCTATATGGGCGAAGTCCTTCTCATTGCCGGTTCGCAGTCGGAGTTCGTCACCTCATCCAGTATTTCAGTGATGCAGCGGTATTTCCCTAATACAGTAGTTCAGATCCTGGACGCCGGGCATTGTGTGTACGAGGATCAGCCGGAACAGTTTGTGAAACTGGTCGTGGAGTTTACGCAAGTTTGCCTAGTTTGCTGAAGTAGGGGTTCTTTAAAGGGGTTCTTTTTAAGAGGCTTTTACTCCTCCTAACCCTGAGTGAGTGCTGAAATTTCAGCTTTCAATCTACTCCAGCGATAATTGCGCTGTCAGCACAATGGGAATGGAAAACCGCTGGCAAAAAAAGGGCTGAATGGCAGAGCGATTTGTAGTAGTGGCGGCTGCAGTGAAAATCGATGGCAAATCAACGTGGCAGCCAATCGAACCGATACCCGATACTGGGATACTCGACTCAGGTGCTTCAAGGGGGACCCAGAAAGATTGGCGCACAAAGACCAAACGCCTCAACCCGCCAATTTGCCAATAAAGCAGCCGAAGGTGAGGCGAAATGCGCCACAATGCGATACAATTTAGATTTATATGCTTTGTCTGATTTATTTGTATTGGACGTGTGGGCGATGGAGACGTCTGCCCTGCGCTGCCTGTGCTTCAAAAGTCGATAATCTCCATCCTCCTTCTCACTTCTGTATACACTCGGTACTTTTGCTGAAATTGAGTCATGACTGAGATTTGAATGTGCAAATGTACACGGGACACTGGGAAGCGAAGAAGCCTTGAAGTTGTTTGCCCAGACCCAAAACCTTTGTTCTGGCTTTAATGAGGATTACGTGAAATTTCATTATGCTGCGTAATAAATAAGTAGCAAGTCAAATAAACAGGGACTGGCAAACACAGCCGACCTAAACAACCCAACCACCCACACATTCCGCAGTTGCAGGGGAATGTGAGTGTAGGTACATGAACATTTCAACTGGGATGTACGGTCGGGAAACCATATTAAAATTTAGACACGTTCGCATTTTATTGCTTGTTATTTTGTGTCTGTGCGGCAGCTGCATAAACCTCCCGAAAAAAGCTGGGGAACTCAACTAGCAGGGTTTTCTTTTTCTGCTCACATGCACAAATGGTTTGCTTATTGTATTTTTACTGCCGAAGGCCTTGACCTAAGTTTTATTTGTGTTTTGGGAAAATAATTATGATTTAAGGTTTCATAATTATTTTCCCAAAACTATGAAAGCCAATATTCAGTAGATTGAGAGCTGGCTTAGTTAGTTTTACCTAGTTTCGATTTTTGTTAGTTTTCATTGGTTAAAAGTTAAAAGTTTAAGGTTAATTAAAATCAAATTAACTTTGTGTTTCGGGGTTTCAGAATCTTTAATTTTAATAACTGGTATTTACTTATGGACTTAAGAGATATAACGCAAGTCCCCAAGTTAAACCCCTAATTGCCACTATCCCATTACAACCATTGCAATGCGTGTAAGCAATCTGTCTCAATTAAATGTGTATTACCTTTTATGAATATTGATTTTCAGCGCCGCTCGTGCGTCTCCATTAATTGGACTTTGGATGGGGCAGATTCGGTTCACCTCCTTCGATATCCAATGCACCTTCCGATTCGTGTCAGTTTATTCAGGCAGATTGCTGAGCTGTACTCTCTGTTTGCTTTGCCTCGTCAGGCAGCCAATTCATTAGCTGTTCCTCCGCTCCAAACGAAACGAAAGACAACATGAAAGCTGCAGTCTGTTCACTGCACTGCGAGATGATGAAGAGTCATCTTCCCATCTTCCCATCTGCACCAGAAACCCTAACCAAAAACACCAACCATCTATATACCACTGCATCTTATATTCCTTGTATTCCGGGCCAAATCCTCTGCTGCGCTTTTGTCTTTTCAATTACGAACCCGCTTCAAAGTCAAACTTTTGTGCAATTATCCTGCAAGACAATTTACCCTGTCTCGATTTTTATGAACGCACAAAGTTTTCCAGCGGAATAGGAACTTTTTCCCAACCAGCAACAGTTTCCATTTCGCTATGTAGCCCTTTTGTTGTTGTTCTCCCTTCAAGACAGTTGATTTTTAATTTCGTGTCGGCGGTTGTTCGCCTCGGTACTTAATTTCTAAGGGAGAATTTTTGACGGGTTAAAGTAAAAGTTAGTTGGCAGCCCGAGACGCTGACCTAATGAGCGTTGAATGCCCTCCAACCCCGAAGAAATTGACACCCCGACGAAGGCGGCTAATGAAGACGGGGGCATCCAGGACAACAGGATACCAGGACACCAGGACACCGGATCTCCCCGGAATCGGGACGATAAGGTCAGCGGACTTGGTCGTAAAGAGGCGGCCATAAAAGTGAATGGCGGGTGAAAATGTTGTTCTAGCCAGGGCGACAAACGTGGCAGTTGCGTTTATCACAGGGTCCTGGGTTCGAGACCAGGTCCGAGATATTAATAAACATTTCCTCAGTGTCCACGCTCCGCTGGCAGGGAATTATTCTTGTGCCTCCACCAGTTTCGGGACTCCATTGTGGGGTTGGGGTTGGGGTTAATGTGGTCGGTCATTAGTGGGGTAATTGGCAGCTAATTGGCTTGATGAGTGCCGGCCAGCTTGATTGGCGAGCCAAACGATGATTCTCGGTTCCAAATAATATGAGCTTAAGGCTCGCAACTCTTTCTGCGAAATTCAGCAGGAATCTCTTAAATTGATTTCAGGTGAAGGAAAAGAAAATGTAATCAAACTTTGCTGATTAAAGTGAAAATGCGAAAAAATTATGAATCAATTTTCCCGTGGATGGCGAGCGAAGTGCAAAGTCATCAGTGAACTGCAAAAGTGGCTGGATGTGCAGCAGCGTTCGGTATTAGCCGCCAATCACGGAAATTTGCATAGTTCTCTGGCGCATTCAACTATAGACTAGCTAGCGATGGAAAAATCAGGTCAGATCCATCAAAAGGCGAGGACACGAAAGTGCCAGCCAATTGGTTGAAACAAAAACAGCTTCTAACCAGGTGAAATGTCGTGACGAGCGCATAGGAACATTCAAAAGTTTTTAGATGACAATTTTTACCGAAAAATAAATACACATTTGTTTTGAAATTTTCATAAGCATTTTCGCAAAAATTTTGATTTTGAACAAAATGAATTTTTTTGAGAAAAATTCGGTTTTTGAAAAATGGCGAAAGCAACAATTTTTTTTTGGTTCTTTGGTCGTTATTATTGAAAAATATGTTCCCCAGCTACTAGGCAAACTATTTTCTACAGCTTACAACATAAGGCAAGAGTAACGATTACTTTCGGGTAAATAAAATAACATTTTTTTTTAAATTTTTTTTATTTATTATAATGGGTTCATCACAATTTTGTGCCAAAAATCGTCAAAAATTAAAGTGCTATGTTTGAACACCAATCGATTGGAAATTTGTATAAAGTATTTTTGCATTTTGTAGTCACCTTTCTGGTGCGCTTCGTCACTATGTGTATTGTCGTTCCCAGTGATATCAATTTTCCAGTTTTACTTTAGCTTTTAATAAATTTCCACTCAATAAAATCCACATAATTGAATACAATTAATGCAGCCGTTGTGGATTTAACTTTTATATTTTTCTTGCTACCAAATGGTTGATATGTATGCACCACCCAATGTATTGTTATTCCTTGGGATTATTTTTGTGGCGCGTATTTATTTTGAAATAAAAAATTCAAAGCATTGTTATTTGTACATTTTAATGGACACATCACAATCTTTTAGTCATTCGTTTGTCATTTGTTGCAAAATTTATTTTAGTATATTTTTAGCAAATATTTATTATTTTTTTATTTTACACTCTGTTTGCTTAAGCAAATATTTATATACTTCATGAACAATAAATTTTGGCATCTGAGTAGGCTAGTGGACAAGCTATCAAAGAACCAAAGATCCCGAACTCAGTTCATTTTTTTATTCGTAGTCTCTTGGATGTTATCAAAGATTTCAGTAGTTTTTTATTATTCCCAAGTAATCGGTTCGAGTTTGATCAGCAGTAAAGACCCCACAACCAGGAGTTTAGCAAGTATTTTAACCAGCAATGGACAACACGGCAGCCAGGGTGGTGTACGCCAATCATTTCTATGCCCACAACTACACCGGAGCAACCATCCAGCAGCAGCAATCACAAGCGCAGCTCCAGAATCCGAGTCACCAGATGTATCACGCCAGCTATATGGACCTTAATCTCAATCTCAGTCTTGGCCACAATTCCAATCCTCAAGCGAGTGTGGGTTCCGGCCTGAGTCCCCGGGGGGTTTACAATGATCTCTATCGATTTGAGGATGGCGGTGGCGATGCCAGTGGATCCTTGTTACTTGGTCAAGATGAAGACCACTTTTGTGGAGGCGGCGGTGGAGAGGAGGAGGCGATATCACCCTCTTCCTCAGTGGTGGCCAGCACCTCATCCTCCTGCCCCACGACCTCGGGAGAGTCCTTGAACCTGGAGACGGAGACAAACCAGAGGGAGCAAGGAGAGATGACGGAACTTGAAGATCTAAATGAGCTGACCCATCGACCGCCCTTCTCACCCAACATGGGTGGCAACACATCCTACATGGTCTTCCCGCGCACCGCAGCCGACTTTATGCCCCGCCTGCCGCTACCCAGGCATCCGCCCTTCATGAACGTTGGCCAGGAGCAGTTCATCATTCAGCAGGACACCGTATTTGTCCTGGGAATGCGACTCAATGTGACCAAGAATGATATTATCATGTATTTCGGAAAACTGGGCATGATCAAGATGGACGAGGGAACGAATAAACCGAAGATTTTCGTCTACAAGAACAAGATGACGGGTCGGTCAAAGGGTGAGGCCACCATTACCTACACCAGTCCCTTCTCCGCCCAGGCGGCTATCAGTTGCTTAAGTGGTGCCAAGTTCATGGGCCAACCGCTGACCGTCCTGCCCGCTTATTTGTCCACCAGAAGGGGCAGTGTCCGCTACAGTTATCCAAGGGAGTTGAACACAGCGGATCAGCAGCGTCGCCAGCGGGTGCAGAAATGGAAGCCGGCGAGCGATAATTGGGTGTGCATGCTGTGCAGGAATAGCAATTTTGTTTGGCGCTCCAGCTGCAACAGGTGTCAGGCGTCCAAGATAGCCGCTGCCAAGGATCAGGGAGGATCGGGCAGCAATGCCCGTCGCTGGCGGCCACAGAAGACCGATTGGCCCTGCGGTTTCTGTTTTAATCTGAATTTCTGGTATCGCGTCAAGTGCAATCGATGCCACGCCCCGCGCTCCGATGATCCGCCGCCGCCCAGCTCGGAAACTCAGGAGCAGGATCAGGAGGAGGCCGAGGAGGAGGAGGATACCTGGGAGCTGTTGCTCAATCAACCCAATGCGGAGTAGGGCCAACCATCCCATCCCCATCCCATTTGTGTATGTAAACGTATCTCGTACCCGTTACCGTTTGTGTATCTCAGCATCCGTTTGTACGTGTCTATTGACGAACCACAGTTCTACTTTCCTCGAAAAATTTAAAGTGATTGGAACTTTGAATCCCGCTCTCAAACGCAGCTAAAAACCAAAAAGAAGAAAGCAACCACAAACTCCCGAAATTCCTGTTTATGTCAGATCTTAAAAAGAGCTCTTCCAATGCAGTATCTATATCCCCACCGAACTCCCCCGAATCCCCCGAGATTGTGGGACAATGCAACTGGCTGGATGGTAATCCACTTAATCCGGGTAACTGAATATTTTACCCCGGCACAAAAGGCAACCGGACCAACCACCTGGCGAGCTCTAAACGTTTAATGAATTTATTTACTTTCCCGACGCCCGCAGTCACTGGCTCATTGGCTCTGTGGAACTGCACTGAAAATCGAAATATCAGTTTGTATCAAGTCGAAATTGTTTAATAAAAGTTGTCTTCTTTTCAAGTGTGTTTTTTGATGAAGTTTGTTTGCCACTTTATGATAAAGGTAGACCTTTTTTAATATTTATTAAGTTTATTTTATTAAGTTTAATAAGTTCGGCCAAAGTATAGAGTTTTGGTAAAAATATGAGTTTACTTAAATATTTTTATTCCCGTTATTTATTGTTTTCCAACTCTTAAGAATTTAGTATTTTTGATAATTTTGTAGTAAATGATAGTATAAACTTTCGCAAGTGTTAAAGGACTGTTTACCACATCCTACAAGGTTTGGGTACGCGACGCATGCCAGATCCGACAGGACAGTTGAAGGCCCTGAAGAAGTCTTCGTTGCTCGCCAAGAAGCCCTCAGCCTTGTATTTAGCATCCTCTTTGTTTCCAGAGCACAGCAACTGAGTGGATTTCAGAAAGAAGAGCTGATTTGGCAACAAGTCGAGTCCTGGCATCTGTTCGCTGATCTTCTCCTGCTTGGGATTCTCCAAAAGATGATCTATCCGGCTTTGGTAGGCAGAGAACGACAATCCCGAGTCCCCAAAGTCTTCCGAGGGCGCAAAGCACCTTTCGATATCGTAATCATAACTTACATCTTCGAACTGGGGCAAAAAGCGAGAAAGCCAACTAGCGAGGCCACCAAATTTTAGGGAGAAAGGCCAAGAGGGGTCATAAACGGGAGGTTGAAAAAATAAGGACACAGAAGACATCTCATCCAACAGGGAGTTCTGTGAACGGGAGGAATTGGACAGTTCATGGGCGTGACGGGTGCCGAATCGACTGATGTCGACCCGGAGGCGTTGCAGATTTATATTGGTGGCTGCGTAACTATCGTCGACTATTTCCAGACGGCCAATCTCCGGAATTATGCGATCGGCGAGCAATTTGAAGTCGATTAACTCAAGAGAAGACTCAATTAAAGCTAAATTGGTCAGTCCTTTCTTCGGATCCTTCGAGTCGAACCTACCCTCTTTCTCCAGCGTCCTTTGTACGCTCTTCCCAAATTCCTCCATAATCTCAATCACTTCCAACTTTATCTTCTCTGAAAGGTGATCCTGTAAGGGAATTATAAATTTAATTTTTAATTTATAAATTAAATTTCTTGTTTATTGTACTCACCGCAATAAAGAGTTTGTTGAAGAGGAACGGCATGGTGTACCGCAGTGTTCTTTCACAATAATCCCCTTGGGTTTGGGTGGCATTGAGTTGGGCATCGAATGCGAACAGCAGTTTCATGGCCAGATAATTGGCCACGGCCTCGGAATGCCTCGCATACACCTTGTCCATATCTAGGAAATAGGATTCACACATTGGGGTTTCCTTTGGTTGCTCCCCGTTCCAAACGATCTGGAAGTAGCTGTTCTCGAACTTTTCGCAGTTTCCAGGGCGATCCGTTCCCTCCACCGTTATAGCCTCTCGCCAGAATGCAAACACTCCATCGATCACTTCTGCAATTTTATCCTCTGGCAGCTTATAGGATCTTAGGTATCCGCGCATGCGATCCTTGTCCAGTTTGTAGGCTTGAGCGGAGTTGCCGAGGATGATGTCCTCCTCCACGATGCTGTGAAAGCCCAGTTTCGGACTAATCATGTACGGCTCAAAGGGATATTCTTTGTCCATCGCGTCGTCGATCAAACCTTTCGCCCCATAGTTGATCATTTGGGCACTCATGTTGAACCAGCTGAAGTTGGAGGCATTCCAGTTGGGTCCATCGACGGCGGGGAACGCTCCGATCGACCGAATGAGTGCTAGATAATGTGGATCATCGGCTGGAAAGGGAGATAGAGAAGCTCCCAAACAGGCGTTGTATAACCTTTGGGCCACCTTCAGTTCCTTGAGGACATTTAGAGACTCCGCCAGATCCATCCTGCCTAGATATGCTTCCGTCTTGCCAACCAGGTTTTTCGTGATGTCACCCTTGCTATTATCCCAGATCACCCAAAAAAGCGGTGAACTCTGTCGATAGTTTCCGCAGGAGTACTCATAAAAGTCCTCACAAGGATCCACACTGAAGTTCATGTAGGACTTCATGAGATTCGCATAGGAATCTAGGTATTCAGTTTTGGAGTTGGTGATTGGATTCCCATCGCTCTTTGTGGTAAATATAAGTAAAAGCACGAAAAGCAGTGGTCTAACGGAGCCTGGGTTAGTGCCGTCTAACTCAATTTGATGGATTAATTCCATGTTAATTTACCGATGAGGTACTTCCCGATTCAGAGCTCAAATCTATACTGTCAGCTTTGTGCAAAGGGTACCTCTTTTTAAATGCCCCGATTCGAACTGAAAAAGTTTCCATGGAATGTTTTTAAAGAAATAAATTTAATAACAACTTGCTGAGAGAACAAATACATTTATGTACCATAAGAAAAATATATTTATATTTAAAATACAAAAATTATTTGAGATTAAATGTTTGCCCTTTGCGCCTTGCCATTAACAAAAATCCAAGGCCATAGCATACAAAATAAAATTACTTTTTTTATTAAGAATCTCAAGAATCAAATAAATATTTCTAGAAAAGAAAGAAAGAGAGAAAGAAAGAAAAAAAAGAATGTATTAATATTTTAAATAAAAACTTTTTGAGATTAAATGTATGCCCACGCGCTTTGCCATGTGCAAAAATCCAAGGCCAAACTTATCCATTCTGATAAATGCTTTTTATGCCCCTTACTCGAATTATAAAAGGGTATATTGTATACGTGCAAAATAATGTAACAGGGAGAAGGAAGCGTTTCCGACCGTATAAAGTATATATATTCCTGATCAGGGTCACTATTTCTTGTCAATTTGTGAATTTTTTAAATCCGAATTATGGGAAAAAATTCTCAAAAATATAAATTTCCATGTTTAAATGCCAATCGATGGGGAATTCGATTACGAACTCAACGAAGGATGACAACCCATAATTTGTTTTTAGGTGGGAAATAAGGATCAGGGTTCTTGGTAAAAATATGAGTTTTCCAGGTGTTTTGTTGTTGTTGGAAATGGTTCAAAAATTGTACAAATTCAAAAATACATACTTATATTTTTTTATGCATTTTAAAATATGATAAAATACCACTATGTGAGCTATAATTTTTCCGCGTGCTTTAGTATCAAGCCACTTGAATCCATGTCCCACCAGCCGCTGGCCAGACGTCTCCTTCCTCCGCTGTCATGTGATTTAATCAAACTTTGCGTCAGCCAAATCTGTGCCACAACAGCTTGGGTTGGTTGGATGGTGGCTTGCCTGCTTGGCAGAGACGTTAGGTGAGTTGCTCTTTTGGCTGCACCCGCAGTTGTGGCAGGTCCTTCGTCCTGCCCACCTGCCACGCCCCCTGGCTGTTCACCTGTTCACCAGAGGCGGCGCCAGGCAGACTTTGTGTTGTGCATTTACTTTGCACTTTCTTCCACACGAGCGGAGAAGGCAGCTGCTCGAAGCTGTGGGCTCTGCAGTCTATCGTCCAACGGCCATCGTCTGTTTTGCTTGGTCTGCCGCCTGCGGGGTATTTGCGTAGCTTCAGGTGTTGCTGCTCCTCCTGCTGCCCCCCGAGAACGGAACCCTGGTAAACCACCAACCTCAGAGACCCCAAAACCAAACCAGCCCACAGTGTCGCCGATTTAAGTGGCAGTCGGGGAGTAAATGCAATAAACACCATTAGCTGCAACGACTCCGTCCGTCTGCCTGGTGTTTTTCGCCCAGTTTTCCTCTCTGGCCAGGAAAAGTTCACTGCAAACGGGGCCATCAAGGTACGAGTTAGTGGAAAATGTGGGAAAGAGAAAAAGGGGAAAGTATTGCCGCATCAAAATGCAAACGCGAAAGGCGAATAGAGTCTTAAGTGAATTGAATGGAAAACTTTCAAACTGCGGGCGCCATCAACTTTCGGGGCTGCAAGCGGGGTGGCAGAAAGTTTCTGAAGCCTGATTTGTTTATAGTTTCCAAGATTGGCGACTTTTTGTGACCCATTTTAGCCCTAACTTCAACATAATTAGACTAACTTGGTTTGACTTTGGTCATTGGGCCAACTATCAGCCATATTATCAGCGTAATTGTATTTATATTTATTTTTTAAACTTCAAAGAGAAATATTTTCAGTTCATTTGATTGATTGGCATTTAGGAGGTTCATATTTATTTTTTAGTTTTTTGGTTGCAATCAATTTGGCACTAATTCCTTATCAATTTTAGAAAAAAGTTTTCTGTGCCATTTTGGTTGGTTTTTTTTGCAACATATTTATAGAATTTATAGCAGATTGATTAAAGGTTTTTAGATAACTAAAGTAGGCCAGAATATACCTAGCACTACCAAGTCACACAAACAATATACATGACTAAAACAACGAATACAGAAACACCAGAAAAATAAGAAATTCACAAAAAACAGATTACAATGCTGAGGAACACGCCGAGCTTCTCAGAAAAGCTGAAAACTGACCATGTAGGAGCCAGGAAATCTACCAGAATAGGAATTCTAACCGAAAAGAAGAAGGGACAGACGAAAAACCTGTTCCATTTCCCCATTGGCTTCCAGATAAGCACCACGGCGGTCAATGAAAGGGTTTCAGTCAATCGGGATTATGGCCATATGAATACCAAGGGTTCGGCGACTCCATATCCGCAGAAGACGGAAATTATGGATGAAATGGTCTTGGCGGCCAAACTGGAGTCGGATAGTCTGAGCCTGTCGAAGAGGAGCAGCACCTCCTCTGTGGCCTCCAAAGATCTGAAGTTCCCACAATTGAAAAGTGTTAGCCTACTTCCTCCCACGCTGACCTTTCAGATGCGACGCAAACTCTTCGACGAGGGCGAGTTCACCGTCTGCAAGGGTCGCAAGATGAGCGACGTCTTCCATCCGATGGACGAAGATCTGGACGACATTACCCAACCGGGCCGCAGGATGGAGTCCAGAAATATAACCTGCAGCAACTACAAGCAGCTAAAGGACTACTGCGAAGTGAACAACATTCGATTTTCCCAGGGACTCAGCGCTTAGCAACTCTTTGCGGTGTGGGTTTCTCAATTGTTGTCATCGAATTAAGAGCAGAAATAAAGTGCAGGAGCTGGGATCTCCTTCAGCTCCTCGTCGCCTCTATCTGTCACTCTTTCAGGTGTCACTCACGGGGGATAAATGGTGCCAAGTGCAGCGGAAAAACCGGTATGCAACTGAGAGGACTGTGGAGTGAAGTGGCCTGACTAACAGATACCTGGTACGGTGCTATCTTCTCTGTTGGTAAACACTTTGACTACACAGAACTTATTGGATCGCAATAGAATTTACAATTTTTAAAAAGTAAGTTATCTTTTGTCATGCCAAAAATCAAAAAGATTATTTTCAATATCTATATTTTCTATTGTATAAAAAGTATAAGTAAGTATATAAAAGGAAAATTTTGTCCTATTTTTGTTGGTGTAATATAATGCAATATATGGGCAAAATTAAATACAATGTACAAAATTTTTTTAATACAAACCAATTAAAATCTTAAAATAATTGTATACGTTAAGAAAAATAGTAAGCATACATATTGAAAAATTATTTATCAAAGGATTTGCACTTTTTTTAAATAACTAGTTGACAAACAATTTTTAAAATCAGTTTCGCGAGTAGTGGCTTGAGTCTCCACGGATACCGGGGTAAATAAAGCAAACGCCTCTTCGCTTTTCGCCGGGACACAAGCTGAAATCCACTCAACTTCACCCACATCCCAGGATCCACATCCTTCCAGCCTCCTCCTGGCACCCCGAATTCTCCGCCTTTCAGCTTCTGCGGTTCATTGTACTTTACGAGCATTTTCAGCTTGCTAAGCTCGCGACTTCCGCGTGTTTTTCCTCTATTCCGGCTGCCATTTTGTTGCGTTTTTGCGTGGTTTTTTCTGTTATCCAGGATTCATCCTTTGTGTTGCCCGGGCACGTGCATCGAACAATGGAACGGTGTGAGTGTTAGTGTGAGTGTGAGAGTGAGTGTTGAAATGTTTGGCTATGAATTATGGCAACATAGATCGACGCGGCCATTTCTAAGCCCAGATTGGCGTGGTTGTGACAGTTTCGAAGGCTCGCTGCACTCGCGTTTCGCATATCGCGTATACGCAACGTTTCGCCGTGTTCGGTTTCGGTTTCTGGCTGTCATATTGCGAACGACACGCCAGGGAACCCGGGGAATACCCCAGAATTGTCCTCCGACCGACTGTCTTTTTCGGTCTGCGGTCTGCGCCGTGCCGCCCTGAAAAGTTGGCCAACGACAACAAAAAGCGGATGCCCTCTGACAGCTGTTCGTGTTTTTCGGTCCTGGCCAAAAACTGCAGAGAGCAAACAGCAAACAGCAAATTGGCAAAAGGCCGTCACATTAGCGCCATTTTCCACTCTGCGGTCATAATTCACTAAAATTAATTGTCGCATTCGAGTTTTCTGCGGTCGCCGCTCTGAACTTTGGCGACTATTTTTGCCGGTCTCTTTTCAGGCTGCGATTTCCCAAAGTCCCCGGGGTGCTGTAAATATCCTTCGGCTGACTTCTATTTAAGGTCTTTGTCGCGAAGCGTTGTTAAAGCGCTAGATTCGCGGGCATTAAACGAATCGGTGTACGCTTAAATCAAAGCCTTCCACTTGAAGAGCCTCGGAAGTTTGCCAAAAGTATTTTTGGCCGGATCTTAGGAACCAGGTTGAATGCCAAGGGTTTTTTTTTGGTACCCAGTAATGTATGTATATACCTCTTTTAATTTTGTGGGGCCATTTGCAAGAGCAGAAAAGAAGGGAAAATTATGCAAAACATAATAATAAAATTTAATAAAAAATACCGGAGCTCGCGGGGGATTCCACTGATTGTCCCAATGTGTAGCGGGTCCTGCTAATGCTGCAACATTTTATGCAAATACCTTCGAGTGGCCCCGGTCCAAAGGTCCGCCTTTGTCCGCTCCTTCGGCCATCTTTATCAGGTATTTGTTTATGCAGCTGCCAAGTCGAGCCGAGGCTTATTTTATTACATTTCTTGGGGGACCGAGTGCCCCGAACCGTTGGCCGTTTATACAAATGGCTTTTGAAATAGGCAAATAAGTACTTGGTAAGTAAATTTCTGGCACCACCTGCTTACCTTTTTCTGGCGACGCGGGCGTAGCGTCAATCGCACATAAAAATAAGTCGAGAGACAACGATGTCATTCAAGGACTAAACAAAAAGTTTGAAACTTTGCTTTGTTTTATTCGTTTCGGGTTATAAAATGAAACGAATGTTGGCAAACTTCAGGCGGGTTTTGAAAGTCGGCAAATACGAGCGTGCACCATCAGCCACGCCCATTTGGGAAAAGAGGGGGCGTGGGCGTAGTGAAACAGAAGGTTTTTTACAATGGGTGTTAAATACTACATTATTAAAAATTCCTAACCACTTTAAGGAACTTAAATTGATTTTAATTTTAAGTTTGATTTTATTTTTTTCATGTACCTCCTGTTTTTCAATTTAAAGCAATTTTATTTTAAATTTAAATAATAGTTTTAAAGGCAATTTCTTAATTGTTCATGAATATTTGTTCACTTTACCCCGAGTATCAACAAAGACAGCTATTAAAATCAATGCAGATGGATTTAGCCCACTTTTATTGCCACTTTAAGCCCACTTGCCATATTTTTATCCGCAAAATCCACGAGCCTAGCCCACTGTCGATCTGAGCGCCCCCGGAAACAATAAAAATGCCTCGCGTTCACAATGCCGTTCGTTCCCAGAATAAAAAGCGCTTATTACGCCGTATAGTTGACTACGGTCTTTATTATTGGGAACAACGGAAGCGCCGGCAACAATTGAAATAAATGAATTGGGCAAAAGGATTGCTGGGCAAACATAAAACGGAATTACTGGCGGGTCGGAAGGATTTGGACCGATTGCGGATTAAATTTTGATATCCGAATGCGAATGCTGAGTTTGCTAACGGAGCCACTTTACAGTCACTCGTTATTGTTTATGCCGCCGCAAATTCTTCAAAAGTATTAAATGAAATTTGAAATAAAATTGGAAACAAAAGCAGATGCTGACTTAAAGAGTTGAATGCAAATATGTATGGGAATGTGTGCTATATACTCCAGAGTTTCTGTTGTGATGTGGGGGACTCCTCACAACTAAGCCAATTTTTCGGAGCTGGGAGGCCAGAGAGAAGTTGGCACCTATTTCAAACTCAATTAAACACGAAAAGGCCAGAGAGTCGACATCCAAAACCCCATCTCCAAGCCCGAACCCCATCCCAAAACCCATCTCTCCCTGCTTTTTCATTCGGTGTGTCATGAAATTCTGCACGGTGGACACAGCTGTTCTTTATGTGGGTGCCCCACCGATGAGTTTGGTTGGTGGGTGGCTGAGTGGGTGAGTGGGTTTATTGTGAATGCAGTCTGCCGGGGTGGATTAAATATTTGAATACTGTTGCCATTCTGTGTCCCGGCAGGGTGTTTCGTTTTGATCTCATTTAAAGGGCTTCAAGCCACCACCCACGTTCTTGGGGCCGGTAACTAAATAAAGAGCTTCGGTCAGTGCCGAAACTTTTAATAAGAGTTTTGCAGACTTAAACCTTGTTAGACGGCAGTGTCGAACACAGGGGAATGTTTGAGAATTTACATAAAATAAAAATCAATTTGGCAAAGAAGGAAAAGTTACCTTTATTTTGGTAGATTTTAAAGGCTTTCAAGGGGATTTTTTTTAATAATACTTTAACTTATATTCAGAAAATTAGATATATACAAATTTAAATTTGAATTTGTTAAACTAATTATTTAAATTTAAGTTAAGAAATTTTTACTTTTGCCTAAGATACCCGTATATTTGCATATTAGTGCCAGGATATATTGATTTAACTCCTTTAACTTAAAATACCCTTGCAATCCTATACTTCCTTTTACGGCCCAGGATACTAACATTTCGTTGGCACAGAATTGAAGTTGCCATGCCGAAATCAGCAACACAAGCAAAGACAACTGAACATCAACAAAAAGCACACACAGACACAATTGCCGATTAGAATGAGGATGTTTGCTGTGTTCCGGTCATTTGCATACATTCACCATTCACCGAACATTTTGGGCCGTGCCAAACAACCAAACAACCATATACAGAATACAGATTCCGACAGGGACACGTGGACACCTTTTTGACCCATCAGGCTTTGCATTTAAATTCGGCAAGTGACCCGCATGGTGACCATGCATAATTAGAGCCACTTTTGGGGGTCTTGTTATGACCCAAATATTTGGCTTGTAAATTGATTTCGGTTCGGAAGTTGTTGGCCATGTGTGAAGTCTGGCGTCAAGATCAAGGATATCAGGAAACAAAGAATTAACAGATTCATCAATGTCAGTGGCATGTTTTTCCCCTGAGTTTTGATATATAATTTTTCACCCTTGATTTAATTTTGCAAAGTTGTCATATTTCAGTTGAATAATGTATTAAAAAATTCCCTTTTTTATCATAATTTGATAACTGTATGATTAAATGTCCGTTAGCCCATCTGACATCCTAATTATCCACTCTATACACATTTTTCATATTTTCACTCTTATCTTATTTTCTTTTGTTGCCTGCCAATCAACAATTCGAACTGATTGCCAAATACACCTGTTCAGTGAGGCTTTTTATAGCCTCGAAAACACTGAACAATTCAAACTGAACTGGGAGTCAACGAACCAGCAACGCCTCTCCCACTCTGATTCCGATTCTGATTTCGATTCCCATTCGTAACCCAATTCCCATACCATGGCGATTTCTGATTTCCGATCCCAATGCGAAACGAAACACTGTCCCATTGCTGACCAATGCGCTTTGGAGCGGAAAGCTTGCCAATTATTGTGTGCAAAGTCCATAAATAATATGGCTGGCATTGATGCACGGAGCTGGAGCTATAGTATATACATATATATGGTGTGTGGGAGACTCTCCCCTGAAGAGCTCCCAATGATGCCACTTGCATTGAGTGAAGCCGCTTCCTGGCCCATTCCGTTCCGAATCTAATCTACATTTATGTCGCCTGGCCTCCCGGAAAGCAGCTTCTTCGCCTGGCTGCTGGCTTCTATCTTCTGGCTTCAGAGCAGCTCCATGTTTGTCCCCGGCACACATTTCGAGTGTTTTGTTTATGTGGAGCACACATTTCCAGCTCAAGTCATGGAGCCGTCGTTTGCATAATAATTTAACTCATTACCCACACTGCTGCTCCTACAGCTCTTCCTGCTCCTCCTCCTCCTGCTCCCTTTTTGGGACAGAAACTAAATAAGCATAAGTAAGACACATTCATTTGCCAGACGAGTTCTCCTCCTTCTTCAGTTGGCAAAAGGATTTGCGGCACCCTGAAGCACTAACGAGGTAATTTCGAGGCTCGGCGAGGTCAAGATGTGACGACGACACTTGCGAAACCACCACCCACAACCCAACCACCCATCAACCTACCACCCATCCAAGCTGTGATGAATGCATTTCTGTTAGGGAGCCCTCATTACGCATACGACACGTGCGCCCGTCTCCTAAACGTCCTGCCATTTAAACTGTTTCCATTTCCAGACCCTCAGCCCCCTGAAGCGCTTACCTCTGCGAACGGCCTGTCAACATAATTGATTTGGCTTGCTTGATGGCGAATCGATAGCCAAACGCCTTGGGGACCATTCGAATGGCAACTTTTACTTTAAAATTTGCATATTCGTTAGCCCGAAAGCGAAGTTCACTACTACAACTGCACTACGCACAGCTAACGATGCACATAAAGTGCTGCAGGTGAAAGTTTCGTGGCCTCCGTTGCGGTTCTTGTTCTGCTTCTTGTTCTGCCTGCAAGTTCCACATTGCCGCATTGCATTGTCCAACTTTTTATTGCCTTCGCGGTGCTCCAGTTTTTGGGAATCATTTTGGGGTAATGGGAATTGGAATGGAAATGGGAAGAAAAACTGTGCATAAATTACTTCCCTCATTTTTTCAATCTACTTAAAGTGACCTTCACTAGTTTATTAACTATTTTATTTAAATTTCCCCAAATCCACACATAAATTCACGCATGAAAGCATTTCTAATAAAATAATTTATATTCAAATTCAAATATATAATTTCAACGTGCAATATCTCGTCGTGATGGAAATGAAAAAAAAATATTTGTAGAAAAATATGTACCAAAATAATTTTAATTAAAAGGATTTGATTATACATTTAAGCTAGGATTTATTTTATTTAAGTTTTCTAGCCATATCATAAATTTCACAGGTTAGAATATACATATGTAAATAAAATTTAAAGTTTTTAAGCTATGCTATATTTTATTTTTATTACCCCTTAACATGTACTTTTTTTGTAAATATTATTTCATGAATCCCACAGGATTGAAATCTTATGAGTAGATAAAACACCAAGCTCGCAATATCTTGTTTATCTGCAGCAATGTCATCTGAACATTTAATCGTCCGTTTAATAAATAGCCCTGAACACAATACATTGTCTAGACTGAAGGCAGAGTGGCTGGGGAATCGAGGGATCAACTAGTTTTTCCTCCAGCTTCTGTCCTTTTTATGCGTTTCCTTTTTTCCCACCCACTCGGAGTGAAAATATTCTTGTACTTTTCGTGCTGATTCTCGCTTTTCCCTAATCTCTCCCTCTCTATCGCAGCTTTGCTCGTTTTCCTGTCCAGGTCAGTGTCGCCACCCAAGGGGATTCACATCCTGGGGAGCTGTTCTGTTCTGTTCTGTTCTGTTTTGTTTTCTTTATTTTCCTGCCTTTTTTTCTTCAAGTCCCTGGCTACGCCTTTTCAGAGCTCATCCCGCATTTTCCGCTGCTTTTCCTTGGCAGCGACCGAATGCAACGGCAATTCACTTAACTTACTCAAGTCGTTGAGGGCATAACTTCCGCTCCGCATTCCGGCAGAAGACCCAATCCCCCAATCCCCAATCCCAATCATCCAGCCACTCCGTTTACTGTCTTAATGCCAATGCTCACACATTCCGGGCAATCCTCATACGCATTTCGCAATCCTTTTCCCTTTAGCTCATGCAATTGTGCACTTTAGCTGCGTTACTTTACTTTACTGCATGTGAGCTTGCTTAAACTAGTTGGATTACTTTGGACTATAAGACGATTGTAAGTCGAAGTCGTATGAATGGAGTAAATATTTACAGAGCCATCGTAAATAGTATTTACTAAATACGATTCTCATTATTTGTCTGCTTTCAGTCTTTTAAGGTTATAGATAAATGTGATTAAAAGAGCTAAGGCAAAGATAATGATGAATCATACTTAAATCGGATTAATTAAGTGCGTTTTTAAAAACATTCTTTAAATTTTGCTTCATATTTATATTTAAGAATTTTAAACTAAAATACTTTATTTATTCTTTTAAGCTTTGTTTGTAGAGTAACTATAAAGACAGACGTTTGTAAAATGTTGTTTACATATTTTTTAAGCCCACTTCTTGTAAATGGTTTTTTGTGATCTTTGGCGCCGGCTGTTTCATGGTCGTTAGTGAAATTGGTTTAACTAGATCAGTGAGTTGCCACCAAAGTGCTAATTGCTCCGGATTCGGGCCTTACACTTAAAAGCCTCTTTGGTCAGGGCAAACAAGACAGAAGAAAGTGAGTGAGTTTGAGTTCGAAATGAGGTGTGAAAATCCCTAGTATGCGATTCAGTTCTACGGTAATTCTCAAGCTGAACGGAAGCAAAATGAGAGTGGTGATCGCGGTTGTGGTTCTGTGCCTCACCTGCTGGCATTCGTGTGCCGCCGAGGGTCACCTGAAACGCTTGAGCAGATCCCTGATTTTCCCGCCGACGAGTCCTACGCGTGTTCAGTTCATCGGTGGCATCGGTATTCCCGTGGAGGGCCTGCATTTCGAGTCTGTTACCTCGGGCTATGTGCTCAAGGCGGAGTACTTTCTGCCCACCAACTCGACGGAGATCACAAGGGTCTATCTCAAGCCGATGGCCATTACGGGCAGGGAGGAGGAGGAGGAGGAGTCGGCCTATGGAGCGGTGTATCGCTGGATTATCTATCGCGGCATTGAGATGGTCATCGAGAATATGGGTCTGCCGGGCAGGAGTTGCCTCCTTCGTCTGATCTGCGAACATGCTGCCCTGCCCTTGAACCACGAAAGTGGATTGCTGGGCGAGATCATGGACATAGTGCTGAGACCCTCCAGTTCGGTAGACCAGTTGGGTCAAACTTCCGATAGGGAGTACCAGCTATCGGAGCACTTTGGCGAGCGGGGAGGCGACTGCCAGGCGGAATATGCCACTAGATGCAAAAAGTCGCCCATGGAACTCATCAGCCTGCTGCTTGAAGTCAATGAATAAATGATTTACACCAAGAACTTCCCTTTCGAATTGAATTTTCACTTTTATTTTTATCCAACAACCACAATCACGTAGGCCCACAATTAGGGTGTGACAATTACAAAGTTGATAAACATTTTAATTAGTTTTGCCTGGCACTGGCATTGAGCTTCTGCGTGATCTGCCTGCGTAATCAGCATCAATTGTAATTAAGGACACGCTGTCTGACGGGGCGTATGCGTAATGTGTGAAATCAACATGCAAACAGGATCACTGCTGTACTTAACTCGCTTAAATTTAAATGGCAAACACAATTTGCCTGAATTATGTGCTGCGACTAGGCCGGAATTTACGGCTTTCTCATTAAGTAATCCCGGGCACGTATGTGCAGGACGCCTCCTAATGGGCTTAGTGAATTTCGGACATATAATATTGGATGGAATAGGAAATAGGAGCTGGACAGCCATGAAATAATTACACACACATTCAATGAAACGCGACTGGAATCGGGGAGGAAGAACCTACAGCTCCATGTGAATCTCCATCCACCGATGGCTTCTGGCATTTCAATGCCTGAATGTGGAAATGAGTTTAATATTAATTAACAGCACGTCAACGTGTGTAGCAGGCGGAAAACGCAGGCCATCGGGTTTCGGGTCATTAGTTGAGGGCTCTGTTGTTTTGTTTATATATTTATTTTAAAACATTTTGCTCGGGGGCTTCGGAACTCTGAAACTCTAGAGCCAAGCCATAAAAACAACAATATAAAAATGAAAATTCTTTGAAACCATCATCAGAGGGGCGGGTCTGTTGGTCAGTTGGCTCCATTTGTCTTCAATTTACAGCTGCCCCGAGGCGGAATATGTGTGTGGTAAATTATTTAGCAAATGCAAATGCAATTTTTCAGCTGGGTGCGGACATTGTTTGGCCCCCGGGCGAATAAAAAGGGGTTCCATTCAAAGGCAGATCCCCCAACTATATATATATCGAAGAATAATAAGTGAGTGGCAAAGCAAACAAGACTACTCCCAGGCTATTTATTAATATTTCTCTTTAATATTTTGTTGCCCTGGGGGCTGAGTTTCACACATCGAGACGGGGTATTCACTTGAAAATTCCTCTGTCCATAAATTCCTCAGCAATTTACCCAACTAAACTGACATATGAGGCGTTTCCTGTCCGGTCGAGGTCCTCACTCCTTTAAGCCTGAATATGCTCACTGCAATCCTTTCGCACTAAACATAATTTAAAGGCCGGAACCAACGGAGGAGGATCTCTCCTGTCGAAGGAGAAACTGCCGTTTTGTAGTGTGGAATTTATGGGCAAATGTGGAGATAAACTTGCTGTCATTTATCAACGAGCCATTGCCGGATTGGAATGGGTCCAGAGGGGTGGAAGTGGAAGGTCCTGCTGTGGGGCCTTTTGAAAACATTTTGACTTGAAATGATTACGCCAAAAACTCAACAGATAAAACCCGGAGCACGGATGCGACCATAAATCAGTAAGTAAATGTGACTTCCTCGGCCTGTGAGTTGGACTTTGGAGTCCTGGTGGGGATAGTGGATGGGGGTCTCCTCCTTTCGCTCGAGTGGTGAATGGACGAAGGTAACTCTACCAAATTGCAGTGAAAAGCGGACAAACGACGGACGGACAGACGAACGGACAGGGAGTTCAGCTCCGCCGTAGATTGGCAACATTTGATGGCGAAAGTTACGTTCGCATTTATCTTTCGAGCAAGTGTCACTTGTGAGTTTCTTGAACCGCAGCCAAGTCCGGAGCACAGTGTCCGGCCAGAGAGGCATCCGCATCCGCACTCGCATCCGCACTACATCCTGCTGAGCAACAGGAGTTCTGTGTTACTGTGTCCTTGGCTTTAAAAGGGTTTCCTGCTGATGGCTCACTGAACACCCAATTTTCCCCAGAGTTCAATAAGCAGCTGTTTTGTCTGCAGTTTAATTGCTTCAAAATGGGAAGCAGCCTATCAACAGTTCAACAATATTTTGCCCTAAGCATAATGGGGCTTTGGATACAAAGTTAATCATTAAATAATATCAGAAATTACTTAGAATTAAACATAATTTAGATATCAGTGTTTATTGATGATTTGGCTAAGTTACAAAATTGATTAGAAGAATATTACGTTTCATATGAGTTTGGCTTTTTAAATGTTTAATTAAGGCATTCTAGCATATTAAGTTTATTTATTGAAAATATTTGATTTTGGAATGCAGGCAATGAACAGTCGAAGTTCGAAGGGAATTCAATTATTTTGCATAGATGCATGGCAACCATCAATTAAAATTTTGTTGAATTTTCAAAGTAAATTTGTCTGATATTTCACAGGTTGTTTATGCAGTTCCTCTGATTTAGTGGCATAATTCCGCAACTCGACGTTTGACAAATTAGCTGACTTGGTCGCAGTTGTTATGATTTGACTGTTATCAAAATTGTGAATCGTGGGAATTTGCCTTACTTCGGTTTGATTTATGTGGCATTAAGTAATCATAATTTATGCTAAGCCCCAGACAAGAGGAAACCCTCGCTCTCTGATATTTCTGTGCAGGCTAATGAGTCGTCGACTCGAAGTTCGTTGGCAGATATTGCAATTTGCATATGCACAGAGTCAGCGCGCTGATTAGCATAATAAAGTGAGCGGCATCCGTTGGCCAGGGATGTGCTGACTGGCAGTCGCAGCAACACGTCGTATGCGCAATATTAATTATTCAGAGCGAGGCAAAGGCGCCTAGAATAAAGGAGCAGACTCGGCAAAAACAAAAACATAAAACAATGCGACACTTGTCGTCCTTCTTACCTTCTTTCCCCCCTTTTATTTCCCCTCTGTTCCTTTTGGTATTCCGTATGCTGAATTCCCAGCTTTGTATTTAAACGGGAATCCTGGGAAAAACATGCCCCGACAATAAACGAGCAATTTTTCCAAAATTACAAAAATGTGAGCAAACATTTTATTTGCGCTCTTAACTTGGTTGCCTTGCCAGCTACCAAGCCCAAAAAAAGGCCTCCTAACGTAACATTTATATGTACACACTGGCTGACATAAATCTTTGCCAATTCCATAAGGCGACTCCTTCTTCTTTTTTCTACTTGCCTTTTAGTTTATTTCGCTCATTTCATTCTCTTTGGGGGTCTTCCTTTGACTTTTTCTGTGACTTTTTTCGTTTTTCGTTTCGCTGCAATGACAAGAATTTGAATAATTCGCCAAATGTGCCAAGTTGAAATGTTAAAATTCCCAACGACGCGTCGCAGCCTCGACGGAAGTTGGCAAGCGGCCGGGAACTTCCGGTTTGGCAAAAACTGGAGTCACGACCCGCCAAATGATTGCAAATGAATGGAATGGTAAGCAAAACGACGCCCACGAGGATGCTGGAAGGAAAATGCCGGGCAGGATGCGACGCCTTAAGAACTTCGCGCTTAACGCATCATTAAATTTATAGCCCGAAAATTATTTAGCGCAATTTCGCTAATGTGTCACGCCATAAAACAAATCACAAATGTTGGTTTTAACCGAAAGTTTGTCTTGTTAGGGGCGGCAAATGTTGTTTATATTTATTTGGAATTTTTTTATAACCAGACTTCGGCTTTTATAATTAAAAGCAGGAGTTTGTTATACAAACTTGGGTTAAAAGTTTGCGGATTTAAAGTTCATTATATTCGATTAGCGAAAAAAGATACGAAAACTTAGTGCAATGCAGAAATAAATCAGTATGAATTGTACTGGCAATAAATATATATATTATATTATATTCTTAAGGAATTTTCTGTATTCAAAATTTAATTTAATTTAATTTCAAAGCTTGAAAATTAAATCTTATCTTGTTTTCTGCTGCAGAAGAAAAACAGGCTTTTTCTTGTTTTTTAACCTTTCTACCTGTGTCATAATTTCCCCTTTATTTCCATGAACTGCATAAGCCGCTCCTTGATGGCATGCTTTCATGTTTTTCCAACTGTTCTCCGCCTTGAATGGCATGCGGCGACAGCGAGTGCAGCCTGCAGGTCCTTCGTGCTGAGAAGGTCCTGTTTTTCTCGCCTCCGCTGCTGCTGCTGCTGCTGCTGCTCCTCTTTCTGTTTTTCCCGGCCGTGTTGTCAGTTCGCCATTCTCGGTGTGATGGCTAAAGAATTTTTCAATAATCGAGCCATGCGCAAAAATGTATGAAGCCGTTGCCATTGCCGCTGTCCTCCTATTGAGGAAATTAATAACGCCATCTTGCTGGAAAATGTCGAAGCATCTTGCGCGTGGCATACTTCCGGGGGCGCAGCTAAGAATTTCGCCCGAGGCAGAGGAACTGGAACTGGGAAAGGAGCAGGACAATTAATGAGATAAGTACGTAGGGGGCTTGAACTATAAGGGGTGCCGAATGAACCACAACTAATTTATTTCATTTTCTCCATTAGCAAGCCGGCCTCCATCCATCACTTTTGTGCCCTCGTCCGCCGTGTAAGCCTGATAAATTCAGCGATTTTGTGAGCCGTCAACGGCTTGTATCTGCGATGCATATGACACATTGTTTTCAACGTCAGAGATCCGCTCCGGAGAACCCAGAAAGCAATTAAATTGCCGACTTTCGGTACAGTCGAAAAAATTAATTAGTGTTACATAATATAAATAAAAGGGTTTGATAAATCTAAAACCCATTAAAATAAATATTTAATTGTAAATTAAGAGAATTTTTATACTTGATAATAACTACTGTTTAAAAAATCAAAACAATTTAAAGTTAGCACCGTAAACACAAAAAATGTTTTTCTTTTAATTTTTCCTAATTGGTGTTTATTTTTTGTTTATTTATTTAGACAGATGATAAATAAATATTTTCATTTTAGTGAAATCAGGGTTTGTTTTCAAAAGTAATACAATTATTAATTTGCTTTAATTTTCTTTATTTTGCAAAATGATACAGATGCTAAATAAATACCCAAAATTGGTGCCATAAATTTAGCAAAAAATCGCTGCCAAAAACTTTGGTTTCTTTGTCGTTATCATTGTGATTTGTTGCTTTTCTTGGCTAAATTTGAGTTTAAGTGTAGATATACTTAAGCACATATATGTCCACATATGCATTCACGTGCCATATCTTTGAGCACACACTCTAATGGCTGTTTCAGGATAATAATTTCCTTGAGCTGGCTGGGAGGAATCCCCGGGGCATTTAAGCGCCGCTCATTTATCACAAATTTCCCATTTACCAGCGACTTGTCCAAGTCGGGTAAAATTAATATGCGAAAATAAATTATCTGGCCAAATGAGCAGCGTTTACCGCAGCCGCTGAAGGTTACGTAGCTTTTGGGGTGAGAGAAGGGAAATTCCATTTTCACACGCGATTTTTTTGTGTTCGGTCAGCTCCGGAGGCTTTTCAGCTTCATCAGTCACAGGAGCAAGTGGCCAGCAAACGGCTGGCAAATAATGGCCAATGGAAAATGGCCCATGGCCGGCAAGCAAACAAGCTCGAAACGCCTGCGATACCCTGGCCATTTCACAGGGTAATTGAATATCGGTCAAGTGTGAAGGGAGCGGGGTTTGCTCAACCGCTTGGAAAGCGATAAAACCCCCAACAAAATCCCTTTAAGGCGGCTTTAACATTTTATTTCGAGCAAAAAGAGAAGCCACTTTAATAAATAGGATCCGATTGTCGAAAGCCCGCTCACGTGCATGGCCTCAGATAATCTCCCTCTCTCCGCCAACAACGAGCCTAATTTGGAGGCATTCATTTGGAAAATTAAAAATTAAATTGCTTGTCTCGCTGCTCCCGCCCTGATATGGGGAATTTTCGTAACAGTGGCCCCGCAATAAATCTCATTAACGAGCACCAAACATAAACAGCATGCGGCAGCACAAAACGGAAAAATTGAGGGATCCTTGGGTTTTTTTGAGGAGATGTGTCTCCACTTTTGAATGACTGTTGCTAAGCACTCAGTGATTAGCTAAGAAAAAGTGAGCAGGGACATGTACGTGACGATTTGATTGGATAAGTTAGTTAGCTAAGGGAAAAGTACTTGAATTGGATAACCGAGTTATCTTCATCATATCGTCTTGACAAAAGCCAAAGTATCAATAGGTTTATATAAACTGAACAGTATCATAAAAGCGTACACAGAAAAAGAAATGGACCAAAGATCAAATATTTTTTAAAGATCAAGTTATTCATATCAAAATAATATGTTTATCTCATTTTACAATCTTTGTTCATAAGATTCTAAATTTAGTGTTTTAAAATAGTATTTTTTAAACTTTTTATGATATAACTGATATCAAACAATATCAAGTTGATATGTTTGAATCCTAACTTTGACATTAATCATATCGGCTGGTTATTGATATGATATAAGGTATAAATAACCCTAAGAAAAAGAGACAAAATTCCTCTTATAAACACAAATGTGTATTTAAATCCTATCGCAACATTCCAAAGGGAAGGAGAAATAAGGGCAATCCATCATAAACCTGTCAGCCGCAATATGCCAAGTGGTTGCGGTTCAGTTCAGCAGCCCAAACCCAAACTCAACTCCCCCATAACCCTGTTGCACCATATGCCATTTCATATCACATGCCACATGCCAGCCGATGCGTTGATAAGATTATTGTATAAAGATATTCCACAGAACGCAACACATTTGCATAGTAGCGGTGGCTCTGTGCCACAAAAAGTGGGAGTGGGAATGGGAATCGGAATCTATGACATGCCGCGGGACTTGCCGCCGGGTTGCACGTTTAAATTGTATTTTGTCGACTGCCATCTGCTCGGCTGTGAGCTACAAATTTGCCAGTAAACACTCGAGCGAAGCCTGGCAGCCGGAAAGCAATTGCTTCGCGCCGTGCGAGCCCCTGAAATATTAGCCTCGTTTTGCCAGGAGTCGAGTCGAGTCCTCCAGGTCCTCCTCCCACTGCTTCTCCTCCTCCTGATCCTGCCCAACTTTATGGCCTCTGATTGCATTTGCCTGCCAAAGTAAAAATCACGCGGGGTATTGGAACCTTTTTCCCCTCGAATCGCCTGCATAAATATTTAAATATTCCCAAGATTGCACTCGTTTCTCAACTCACTGCACGTTTTGAAAGTGTAAATGATATCAGGTTTCCGAATTGAGTGTTGCCTCGATTAGGGTCATGTTTCTTTACCCTTTTCTAATGCTGTTTGGTATTTTTTATGATTTTATTCATTTTATTTTTTACATTCCAAATTTTGCCCTACACACAAAAAAAACTATGTAAAATTATTTATAGACACTTACATTTCACAGATACTTAAACTTTTTAAGTTAAATTTTTAAAGTTAAGTACTAGATAATTATTATTCCTTTTTTTAACCCCACCGAGAAAAGCAAATTCCATTTGATTATTGCTGCTTACATTGTGTATTAAATAAATTTACAAAGCTAGGGAATCCTTTAGAGTAACTATGGCAAGGGGTCTTACCACTAAGGATATAAATAAGATGGTCTCTTTAAAAGCATGTGTGTTTCAGGTGGCGTCTATTGCAAGTTCTGGGTGATCCATGGAAGCATGTTGATGACGCTGGCGAAGACTCCCGGCTGATTCTGCTTCCGGCCGCAGTGACTGTTGCCGAAGGAGACCACGCCGTACTGAACCACTCGGTATTTGTTCTTGAATAGATGCGTAAAGAACAGCGGGCCACCGGAATCTCCGCGGCAGGTGTGCTTGATTCCGGATCCCGTGGCGCAAATGTGGTTCTGACTAACCTCACCCTTGTTGTAGTACCGCCGGCACACGTCCAGATTCCTCCGCGTGACCACGGCCTTTTGGAGCTTCGCGGCAGCACTGCCTCTCTCGGTTCCGCCCCATCCGGCGATGAAGAAGCTCTGGTTATAGTCCAGTTCGTAGGACTTCGGATCGATTGGCAGGCAAACGGGCTTAATATGAGTCTTCTCCTTAACCACTCTATTCAGCTTAATGATGGCTATGTCGTATCCGATCTGGCCATGGACGTAGTTGTGATGCACAATTATCTTCTCCACGCCGTACTCCTCGTAGGGTGGAAGACAGACGCGAGTAGTGCCGCCCAAATAGTGACAATCCTTCTTGGAATCCAGGTCATGCTCACCCAGGCGAACTGCCGTTCTGTAATACAGACAAGTTTTTCATAAATTAGTCATTAGTTATACGTCATACATATATTACCAATTTTTAAAATTAATATATTTTAAAGCGCTCAAATATTGACAAAAATTGTGCCAATATCAGAGTGAAATTATTTCACCATCTTCGGAAATGTTTGATTAATATCAAAGACTAGTACCGAAATCAGATCCAAACAAAAATCTTTACTATGATTTTAAATATTATGAAAAAATTTGGAATCTCTTCCAGTTATAAAGACAGTTTTATATGTAGAGATGTTTGGAACTTACACTTTGGGCTGCGAGATGATGCAGTGGGCGGCGGTGAGGACGTGGCGCTCACTGATAAGGCTTCCACCGCAGAGAAAGGGACGATCAGCGTTGATTTTGTACTTGAGCAGGGCCACCCAGGGAAATTCTCCTGGCTTGGCTGTCCCTCCACCGCTGACCTTGGGATTGCCTTTGTTGCCGCAGTTGGTCACCGAGTTCAGCAGCTGCAGACCCTGTTGATCATATTGGTTCAGGTTACGCCTCACCGATCGCACAACCTTTCGTTGGGATTCCTGGTTGGTTGACGACTGCGGGGTGGTTTTATTGGTGCAACAAATATGGAAGTCCTGTAAATTAAATTGGATTGGTTATTATTTTGCAGTTGTTTTTGTTAAAATAGCGCCCACATTTTTCACAAAAATGCAATTTGGTTGCGTTTATTTATAACTATCAAAGTGTAAAAGAAATTTTTCAAATCGTACCATTCGTTTAAAAGTTATGCTCGATCAAAGTTTTATATCTCCATCTCCCTCGCACTCCCTCTAGCTGAGTAACGGGTATCTGATAATCGGGGCACCCGACTATAGCGTTCTCTCTGGTTTTTATTTATTGTTGTTAAGAGTTTTACAAACTTACTTGAGTATTTGTAGTGCTCCTGCACTGCATCTGAACGATTTGGCTATGAATATTCCGCGGAATATTACGTCCGTAGAGATTGATGATCTTCTGCACAAAAGGACACGTCTGGTACCTTATGCAGGTACCAACTGCTTTGTTCGGATTGATGCAACTATTCTCTGTAAGTCGGTTATAATATAGTTTTAACACACCTTCCTGAAGATAAATCTTTATAATAACTTACGGCTGAGAACCCGCTGCTGCAAGAGGCACACGACCACTGCGAAGCCTAGAATCGCCGTAAGTATCATCCTGTCTGATTGCTGTAATCAGTGTTCAATGTGGTGGGTGTTCCTGCTATTGCTTAGAACCTGTCTTAAGTCCGGATGCTACTGCTTTGTACTAATGGAGATGCCGTTCCCGATCACGATTAATTTATCCAACGTGTGCTCTGAACAGATCAACTTGCAATGAACCGCAGTTCGTCGAGATCCCAGCTTTTGTACCTCGAATTCGCGAAGTCTGATCTCAGATCGGCGATACAAAAGCGATCGTAGAGCTGGGAGCGAGGGGAAAGCGTTAAAATTCCGGGAAACCCCTTATTCACCTAGCTACGCACACGGTACGGATCGTCACCGGTGCACAGTGGTTGATTTCATAGGCCAAAAATAATAAAACAAAAATGAGAAATTGAGGTTTTTTTTTCTTAAAAATATTTCTTAACAGAGCAATTAATCGAACGGTTAATTTATTTTTGGTCACACTAATTCGTACGCGCTACGAATAGCGAGAGAAGTGAGACAAAAAAAGACGTGCACGTCACAGAGAACGCAGCCACCAAATAAGCTTCCACTAAAAAATAATTTTCTATAACTACATCGCGTCCAATCATCGGCATATAAAATGCATATTGAAAAAAAAGGTACGTACTCTAAAACTGAGTAACTTTTATGTCATTATGTGTTGTGTTATTGTTTTAAAATTATTGTTTTATCAGTGACCTGGTAAGTGGTGTATTTTTTTTGTATGCATCGATTTCAGATAAAGAAAAAGTTGTGACCCCCGTCTTACCCTTTGATGAAACAAATTTTTAAATATTAATGAATGTTTTCTTAGTCTCTGTTGTAAATTTGAGCTGCAACTTTTTGCAACTTTCTGAGTTATACGCTCTTTTATATTCGTGCATATTTTGTGATTTTGTGTTCGTCATATTACTTTGTGCTTTGAAATCTTAATTGCTCAATTGTGAAGTTTTAAATTGAAGTTTTTAATTTTTTTTAAGCTAGTATATATTTGAACAACGTTTTTTTATTGATATTGTAAACCAATAAAAATAAAATATCTTTTATTAATAAGAGATTTCCTTACCCTAAAAGTATGCATTTAAATTTAAGTCTTAAAATGTTGTTTTTTAATATTTTCGGACTTTAACGTATGGTTTTTAAAATTTTTGTTTTCATTTTATTTATCTAAATGGGTCTATATGGCAGTACAAAAATTTTCAGCGCAATATTCCTACTGGAAGTATTTTTGGCCGCCTCTGCCATACTAGATCAACCACTGTGCGGTGCTTTGACCCTTGTACTTGTAGTTGCTGGATCGAAACCCGTTCTTTGGATATAAATATGATGTGTAACAGACAACGGCACCTGTGCCTGATTATGAGTCATAATTTATGACACTACTAGTGTAAAGCGGTGCAGGTGCTACTGGCACCGCCTACTATGCAGTTGCATAGTGTTACACACACAGAAAAATATGCGGTGGTTTAAAAACCCCCGAAATTTGTGTAGCTTTATATATACAACTTTTTCCATATTTTCTTATTTTTCTGACCTAAAGTGTTTTAAAATACGAAGATTTAAATGGTATGGCATTCCATATTCTGACCATTACTTTCGTTGCCCAGGGCAACATATATATGTATGATGATAATAGAAAATACAGTGGTGATTTTTTTTCTAGATTTCCTTCAGGCCTGCCCCCTTGCTTTATCCCATAAGCCAACTTCAAAGCCACATGAGGGCCAATAAAACAAGTTCCCACTCATCGGAATATTGACGCCTGGCCTCTTAATTGCTCGACAAACGCTCGCCAATTCATCGCACACCAGATCAGGAAATCAGAGGAAGGGAAAAAGGGGAGGAAGGCATTGGCTTTGGCTTTGGCTTTACCCTCGTATAAAATAGAATTTTTTCTGCCGGCAGCTTTCCTTTTCTGATATTTTTTTTTTTAAGGACGAAACGGCATCCGCCTCCAATTAGAGTTCTGCTGATTTGGCGCACTTGGCGAGAGGCATGTGTTTGTACGCCTCGCTGCCCGTCGTCCGTCCACATAGAGATGGGTTCCGAAGGGTGGAGAACCCATTAAGATCATGCTCCATTAATTGAGTAGCCATGAAATCGCCTGGTCCATGTGAATGGCACTTGTTACTGGGCCGATTGTAACAAGGATGGTGTCAAAATTGTGCATGTTCCAAATGGTTTTTGGGTTTCTGGCCCCCCCGAAATTAAGTTACACTTGCCAAAGCGCCAAAAGAAGTGGCAGTGGAACGCGGCCAACGAGAATTAAATATGCATGGCTATGTTTTGGGGCTCGATGGCCAAGAGGGAGTCCGGCAAATTCCCGATTCCCCCCGCCTTTCGTCCATGGGCCGTAATTGTAATTAGCTTCTGCCGAGTGGCCTCCAAACCGAATCGGATGAACAAAGGATCTGTGGGGCGTGGCAGATTTTGCGATTGTGGGCGGGAATACGATTCTGTGGCCAGCGGGTGCGAAATCAGCTAAATGGGTTAGCGCACTGCCGCTGTTTTGGCCGATAAAGGGCATAAATAATCAGCACATATTGGGTGTGAATGCGATTGAAACAAAATTTGGTTATTTCCTCTGGATGAACATTTTTTAAAATTACATTTTCCACAAGTTTTTAAGTGGAAGTGGTTGTGATTTTGTAACCTGTACTTTTTATTATAATTTCAGGTTGAGACGAAATAAAAGTTGGCCGAATAAACCGCTTTGAAAATGTTTATGATCTGATAAACATGATTAATTGCCCAAATTGTAAATGTTCTGTTCAAGATTAACATCGAACTGGCCACAAATGTTAAGCAATCATTTTTAGCTTTTCCACAGATTGTGCCTTTTAAAGCTATTTACCTGTGCTCTCCAACTTACCCCTGGTTGTAATCCACCGAACGGACTGTTCAGCAAAAACTTTCGCCAAGGTCTGGGGACCTAAATGAAGTTTGTGCCCGCACTTAACCAAACCGCAATAAATCAAAACACCTGGGCGGTGGTACTTAAGAGACATGCCAACCAGGAAGACAACACCCAACAACAATGGTGCGACATGGGCAACAAAACAGATAGCAGCGATGGAAAAAACTTTGCTAAAAGGGTAACAAAGTTAGGGATGCCCTTGCTTATATGTACTCCTAGAAATAGGATTATAAGAAAACGAATTTTTTATTTTATACATACATTTGTTGAAAATCCTAAAATCTAAATACATACATTACATTCTTTTGTTTATTATACCTAAAAAGTGTTGATATTTTATTTACTAAATTTTTTTTTTTTAACTCCTGGCAAAAGTTCCAAACACCCTTAGTTAGGGAAACAGCGCACCAGGCGAAATCAAAACTTTTACGGCCCCGCAAAATAAACGAGACGGCCAAGAAGGCGATAAGGCTGCAACAACAATGGCAACAACAGGTGTTTGACACATATTCCCACACTCTGACACACACTCATACAGACACATAGAAACACGCACACTCACGGCAACCGGAAATGAAAACATTGCTGCCTACTTGCAGGCGCAGCTACTTTGAATGCGGGCTTATCCTCGCCGAGTTTTCAGCATTTGTTAACTGCATTTAAAAGGGCTAAACAGGAGCACAAGCTACGCACTGGCAGGAGATGAAAAGTGAAAAACTTGAGAGCTGCTAAAAAGTTTGTGGCCAAGTTCTTTTCTCGCACCTTTTGCGGGGTTTTTCGAAACGCAGAGGATTCTCCCCACAGAATGCAGTTAAAACTTGCAGCCGCAATTCAATTAAAACTTCAATGTAATACCACCAAGTACACAGACCGCAGAATGTATGTGTGTGTAAATGTGTGATGCTCCTTAACGCTGGGATGACAGCAGCGTGCCAAGTGGCAAGCGGCAAGTGCCTTGGATGGCTTCAAACTTTGTTGTACCACCGACCTCAGCTGTCCTCGTGTAAACAAACGCCCTAAAAAGGGGGCGAGGCGGGCGCTAAATGAGCAGTGGCCCATGGACCCATGGACGGCCAACAAAACAGCCGGCTTTGTGTTTGGGAAAGAGGGAATCGAAGGGGATATTAGCGGGATAGAGCGGGTTTTTTTGAAATATTATCCGCGCAGGCGCAGCTCTATAAATTCCTACAACCTATAAAAGCCGTTGTTCTGGCCAAAACCAAAGCAGTTGCTTCGTGACGCTTCTCGGAAAAACTTCTAAAAGCGGAAAAACTGAAAAAAAAAACATTTATAGTCCAACTTCGAGCACGAAACTCCAACTCCGAACTCCAAACTCCGCTTGTTGATGTTTTGTGGCAAAGCAATAAAAACTGTAATTAGCGCGTGCTTGTGGATTCGCAAAATTTAATTAGCAAGCAATGCGGTGGTGAAAAGTGGAAAGTGAAAATATATAAACAAACTAACTCTTCGGAAGGGCAGCATAAAAACTAAGCGAACAAAAAACAATATAAACGAAATGCAGTTTCCGAATGATTAGTGCAACAAAGCGACCACAGAATAATCTAATTTGCGTTGGCATTCAAATCAGATTACAAGCTTAAATACTTGTACAATCTGGCATTACTCGCATGATTTAAACTTTCTATGAAAAAAATAGATAAATTAATAAATAAATATTTACATTTTACAGTGATGTAAGAAAGCATCATAAGTGAAAAGTATTTTATGTGGTTATAAAGTGACTTGAAAATTATCAACAAGCTTGAATTTGAAAATATAAATTGGAAACTGGATATCTTATCAACTGCAGAAGAAGTGATTAACTATTCCTTAGGTAAATTACAAAAGAGAGAAACTAAATTTTAAACTGGGTATTTGGCAACAAAAATTGTTGTTCCGAAAATGTTTAGGGGGGCTTATTTTGAATTACATATCCGTGTTCTATGGGCTGCAAAGCGACCGAAACTCTAAATATTTCCAGCTGGCTTGTGGCAGGGTCTTTGGGCGATTGAGATTGATTCATGTGCTCGCACTTCTGTGGTGGGTCTGCCACATATGGTCGAGCACAACTACAGCTAGTTCGTGTGGCAAGCTGCTTAATTGCAGAGGCAACCTCATCGCATCAGGCTCGCTTTGAGCCATTCCACAGCCACAATTTCATATTGTTACAAAATTGCATTGTTAATGGCCGTTGGCAACCCTCTCGACTGGCAAATGCTAACTGGAAACTTGAAGCTGGCAACTGACAGTCGCTTCTGTCTGCCTGCCTTGCCAAATGGGTTAATGTGGCGCAGGCCAAAGGGGCGAAGGAAATTTAAGGGGTTTGAGCCATTTACATGCCATTGGTTAATGTGCAGCCCTTTGTAATGGGGCAACTTTTTGCTCTGTCAGCGCAAAATAACTGCGGTTATCTCCGGGGCCAGCGAATTTCTTTTCCGCCAGTTGCAATAAAAATAATCGTAGCATAGATAATGGATAAATGGATAATGGAGGGAGGACTCACTGGCATAAACCGAATGATTAGGATGGGAGCACCTAAGTTGGCCTGTTAAATCCATTTAACATCCTCATCGGCGACCTTTTGCAAGTGGAAGCCTGTAAACCCTTCACTTCCGCACTCTTCCGCAATAATAACAATAACAGCAAGGGCAAACAACAAGAACAGAGACGCTCTTATGCCATTAAGTGGCATTATAATTACAATTTCCACCAGGGATACCGGGGATACCGGGGGAAGTGGAAGTGGCAGGCCGACCTCGACTATAAAGTTCGCATTCGAAGGGCTCATTAAGCGGGAAAAGCTGGAGGAGTGGAAAGCGGAGGGAGGCCACTTAAGTCAGGCGGGTTAACGTTTAACTGCTGACGCCAGTCCTCGCAATCGCCGAGCTGTCTAATCAGAGCTGGCCCAATTAGCAAATACGCTTGGCAAATAATCCGCACGGATTTTAATTAATTGGACACCCCTAAAGTCGAGACTTTTATGTCGATAATCGCTAGCACTGCAGGTATATTTTATCTTTGCTTCTGTGGAAACGGAAGAGCACAGAACCATATGATACTGTAACGTTGGTAGGGATTTGGGATTTTCAAATTAATTGTGCGCATAAATTTTCCAGGGAAGCTGTGCATCCGGAAAACCGGAGCCGGCAACCTTTCGGCTTTTTGTTTTCGGGGCAATAAATTCGCTCTCGTCTCTGAAATGAGTTTGCATAATTCAAATAACGAAAATTGAAATATATCCCCGGCAAATATTTGTTTAGTTATAAACCGAATTTACCCCAATTTGTTATGATTTAATTCTCTTAGTTAATTGAGCTGGGGATTAACGTGCTAAAATCGTTGGAATATAAAAGTACGAATACCTTAGCTTAGCAGCAGAGAGAGGAAATCAATAAAACCGGAATTTAATATAGCCACAGAGGAGAGCTTAGTGAAATTCTTCGGGGCGGAAAAACTTCACCCAGTGAAACAGGAACTCCGGCCTGCAAGTGATTTACATATTGGGACCTGCTGGAATTAAGTATCTCGAAGATAGCGCGTGACAGATAAAACTATTTTAGCACTATGCCCCCGTACAATTTGTGCGGATCCAACTAATGGCTGGGAAGATTACGCATACGCCCGGTTGGTTGCGTCGGATGCGGATGCGGATGCGGATGAGGATTCTCGTCCCTGGGCCGAAAGCACTATAAAATTAATTTTAAGACACTTGGAGCTTAATCATTCGCACAGATAAAAGGCGACAGTTGTCCCCGAGGATAATTGCGTGTGCGTGTGGAACAGCCTGGGACTTCAGTCAGTTTGATTCGTTTTGAGGAGGGGGTTTTTGGCATGAGGCCTGGAATTCAAGGCATAATTTGGGTACAAAATATGTCCGCCCTTGTTCTCATTCCCAAATCCCTGACCCAAAAAAAGGGACTCCCGCCACTTGTGGAAGTTTGGCCAAACGTGCTGAGCCTTTAAACTTGCCCAGTCGACCGGGGAGTGTGGAGTGGGTGGGTGGCTATCACTTTTACGAGTCCTCGGGGATCCACTCTTGTTAAACTCGCATCCCGCTGCTCACATTGTTGTCAGGCGGACTAGGGTCTAGGGACCACTCGAAGCATGTCGGAGATTTGCGTGAGCCAACTGCCTTTTGATATTCAATCATCTCGAGCATCGCTTCTATAATGGCACCCACACACACACGGGCAGAAAGAAAATACATTTTTTTGGGACTGTATATCATTTTATGAAGCCACAATATACTTAAGAGATTTCAAATCAATTTGATATTAAAAATATCAACATAGATACAGTCAAAATCTCCATAAAGTTTTTATAAAGAGAGTAAAAAAGCTTATAACATGTATTCTATATCTCGAAAACCCAAAAACGTGATTTAAAATATAAAAATTTTAAAAAATTATATATAATTATTATAAACAATGTAAAAATTTTAAAAAATGTAAAAAACAATATTACGAAATTTTGTAAACAAATTCCCAATCAATCTGCATTTAAACCTAAAAATTAAAATTTTTTTTTTTAATTTTTCGCCAAAAATTGTGATTGTAACCCCTTATACATATAAAGGTGAAAATTAGCAATCAAAATTGTTCTTAATCTGCATAAAAGTCGTAGTTTTACATTACTTAGGTTGTTAGCTGTTTAAAGCAGTGCGTGTTTTGGGAAATTTTTGGCCAAGTAACAACGGAAAAAGCAATAAGAGAAACTGATATTTTTATCCCAAAACAATAAGCCATTTGGCCAACTATTTAAAGTATTTAAATCTTACAAATTTATGCTTTTTAACATTCATCATTTAATCAATTTGTTTTTTTTAATATAAAATTTTTATTTATTTTTTAAAATTAATTTTTTTTTATATTTTTTTCAGTGCATGCACGCACACATATGCCTGGCTTGACTTTCAGCCGGCCTTCAATTTGTTCATAATAATGTCCGCCTATTTTGAAGTGTCACAGCGTGGGCGGAAACAAGTATTTTGATGTTTCCTTTTTCGAGGCCTTCAAAGGGAAATCGAAATCGATGTGTGTGTGGATTCGATTTGCTCTCTTCAAGACCAAAAAAAAAACCAGAAAAAAGGACTCTACAAAACTCAAGCAATAAAACCATAAAAGCAGAAAACAATACTAATTTTCGGTGATGGGATGTCCGAGTATTTCCCAATGGCCAGCCGCAGAATCGCGGCATAAAATATGCATTTGGCTTTGCCCAGCGACTTTTCCGCCTGATTTATGTATTGTATTTGTTTGTGTATACAGTATACATATAGATGGACGTGCCTTGCCTTGCCTTTCCTTGCTCACCTTGGTAGCCAAGTCTATTTGGAATTCAAAAGCTTTTAACAGATTGTCGCAGGCAGTAACTTTGCCAATTTGCAAAAGTTCAACTGAGCAGCAAAACGAAAGCAAAATAGAATGGATTAAGGGGCGAAAATGGAGGGCGGTTGGCAGTAAAAAACAATAACAATTACACTGATTGCCGCCCCCGGAGAATTCGAATACGAATACTGTTGAATGAATGTGAGTGACGACCTGCCGGTCAGTCGAACGGAAGCGGAAATGGGAGCGGGACAAAAATGGTAACTCGCTATTCGGTTTTCGGTTTTTCTGGGCCAAACGATAGAACAAAACTGGCCATAAAACAATTGAGGGCTCAATTCTGTACACCACGCCGCACATTTTTACATTCGGTGCCATATTTGCTCGCTCCGTAGTTGTAAATTTTCCATTTCCACCGAAGGGATGCTCCCTAGTGCAGCCACTGGAAGCGCACATTTATCTCCACCGAAAAATGTTTTGGCTGCAGCCTTTACCTTATTGTTTCGGCCAACAGCGATTGCAGTAGCAGCAGCAGCAGCAGCAGTGCTTATGTGCGTAAAAATTCTATTTGATTGTCCCGTTTATGTTGTGGATTTAACTTTTCCCACTGCCCCGCTTACTGAATCCTCCACTGGCTATCCCGTTTGGCCATTGTTTGCTCACCAGTTTGGGTAGTTCACTGCAGAAATACTTAATCCAGATATTTATTTCCTGCACCAGGATGTGTGAGAGTCAGTATATTTTTGCCTAAGTATTAGCGAAGACATTGCAGCTAAGTCATTCACCCGAAATGCGACCCTGCTATTAGCGAGGATCCGATCCTCACACTAATCAACCGAAAATACCATACTTAAGGATTTTGGGATTTCACGCATACGACGTTCACACTAGAAGCCATGATTTCCGCCTCTTTTATATCGGCGTCTCCCGTGACCAGTTCGTTCGCTCCGGAAAAATTCTTTATTCGATCGCATCCAATCATCCGCGAGTGATTTTCCTGCTAATCTTTGCATATTTTCCCCTATTATTGTTCCTATTCTTGTTGGTGAGTTAATTTCTCGGAAATATTGTCGTTTTCTGACTGGAATTTCCCAGAACACAGAAACCACCGACCACGTGCGATTTCCGAGAATTGCAAAAGTTTGCGAGCCCTCCCTCTGCGCACAGCAAGGAGCTGGAGCCGCTACAGCGGTAACATTTTTGTTGCATCAGTGCCACGCTAGCGCGACGCCCAGGATTTGCATCAGCTCTGCGCCTGGATTTAACATTTCCTCAGAGCCCACGCCTGGGTCGTATTACATCATCGCCACGCCTGAATCTACATAAAGGATCTCTGTAAAGGCGCACACCGCGTGAAGTGGATCTTTTCTCCTTTCCACGCCTGGACTACCGTACTGTTCGTCATACCGGACCTAGTTTGTCAGCGTCCAACCGCAAGCGGCATCAAGGAACGCCGTTTCTACCTCACCAAGCCCGCGTGAGGTTTTCATCGTGCAAAAACCGCACC